CTGGAAAAGCAATTATCAATTAATGGTAAGATTTTTTAGTGATTTCATCTTAAAAAAGCAAACACAAGAAGCTTAACTATTTGTCTACCCCTCATAACTGCTTGTTAATTAATATATACGAGAAATGCAGAATTTGTACGTTGCATAAACCGATGACAGATCATATCGTATGCAACAAAAGTAGATTGAACTAGAACCAGCATGGTAATCAGAATTGGAGGCAACCCAGATTCTTTGATTTCTTTCTTGGAGGTTTAATGTCAATGGGCGGCAGGCACTTCTTATGGAATCTATACCCTCGATTGTACCATCCAGAAAAGAAAAACCCAATTATTATAACATGTATACGTAAGCGTCAGGCTGGACAGATTTGGGTAAAATTTAGAAGGCTGAGGTAGATTCAGGGCAGGCCTAGTATAATTCCCAAAAAGGGAGAGGGAAAAGAACTACATTGCTGCATTCCTTTTAGCAGCCAGTCCAACTTTAGGACGGTCCTCCAAAGTAAGAGAGGCAGCTCCATTCCAAAAATATATGGATTCTACGCATTGAAATGTGAATTTACAGATTCAAATTCATCAAAAGTTGCTTTACTGTTTAAGAACTAAAAACATCAGCAGTCAAAACTGAAAACAAGGAGGAAAAAGAGACATAATTTGCAAATACGAGTGCATCCTCCATCTTATATGATCCGCCCCAAATGGATTGCCAAAAAACAGGCCAGTTCTTCCGAGCCTCGTTCCATCCCAAGAGTGAGCCTTCCCTCATTGGATCCCAACTAGAGGACATAATGCCATAACTCACCCCTAATAGGGCAGTCCCAAAGAAGAAGAAGGAAACAACAAACGGCACCCATGTTGGGACATCAAATTTTAAAACAACCTTGAGATAGTAAAAGAATGGGAAAAATCAGAGTCCTATAAACAATGGAATTCCAACTGAGAAACCCATTCTGCTGATCATCCTGTTGGTCACTACCTCAGGTATTACGCCTGCCGCAGGTTCAAACTCTTCTTCTTTTTCATCATCGCTCTTTGGCTTCTTTGTCTTCTTATTTTTCTTTGGAGGGAGTCCAAAGCCTCTTGGGCTATTCAAGGTGGCATTCAGGGGTACCAAGTACAATGATCGAATTTGTTTTGGGGGGTGTTCCTGTAAATGAAGAGAATTCAATGGTTTTCTCCACTCGTAGGCATTCATTTATCTGTACATGTCTTTCCAACCGGCGGTTGATGGAGAATGTCCAAAGCCCACATACGAAATTTGATTGTTCATTACCATGGTCAATCTGCAAAACCATATGCATGTTATCTATCAGATTGATTACTAGCAAACAGAGATATTTGGCAAGGCAATAACGTCTAAGGACAGATGAAATTCAGTAATCTTGTTCACCATAAAACATCAAAGATGAACTATGTTGAAGTGTACATGTTTTGCGGGCAGCAAAGATACTCAACCAGAATATTTAAGGAATGAACCAAAGTTCAATTTGTTTTGGGTACACAAAGCTCAAAATGTCTGACTGGATGGTGAATGTCCTATCAATTATCATAAGGATGATAAATTTTATGACATCGTTTCATTAAGTTTCCTTGACCCCGACTACATGTATATTTAAATACTCAATAAACCAATAGTGGAAAGGGATGATCTAATACTTCAGAACGTATCATTTTAGGGGGAAAATGAGCATCATTGTAATCTAAATTAGAGAAAAGGAAAAAGAGAAATGTAAAGAGTAACAGATATAATTAGAAGGAAGTCAGATGAAGCACAACTTTGTAAGCGAACATTTCGTAACGATTACAGTAAAAATTTGAAGGGATTAAAAGCTTTTAATTTGATGACGGCATTCAGGAAACCTAACAGATTTATGAATGCAACCCAAGTTTAGACCCAAACCAAGACGAATGAAAAGGCAAACTAACCAAGCAAGCACAATTAGTTTAAGATAAATGAGAGCCATTTTCGTGATTTAAACGCGTAATTAGCAAGGTTTAACCTGTTTGATTGACAGCAAGCAAGCAAGCATACCTTCTAAGGGCAGGGTAAAAATGAAAGCGCCACAGCAGCCATTAACTTCAGCCACTTCACTTTTCTAAATCTCTCTTGAGTTCGTCCAGGTAGGAAACCACAAATGAGAATTCAAACAGGACTATGGAATCCTATTCTTGTTAAGTTGTTGCTGAACTCAGAAACTCAACTATCGTTACCCGACAGAATCCCATTCAGACACTCAAACTCAGAAACTCTACTCACTTACCAGTTAGTTACCTGACAGAAGAAGCGACAAGCTTGTTCTTTTATTTTTTTCCCCGTTTGGGCCAGTAGCCATAAGGTTACTGTACATGTGTAACTTGAGGGATTGGTCAGGGGCTGTAGCTCTTGGCCTTATTATACCGAAATTACATGAAGCCCACAAAATAAATAAAATTCAATATTTTTGGTTGTTGTTTTGTGTATATGCATGTGGAATAAACAACTAAGATACTTTGGGAACGTATTTATTTCTTGTTTTATTTTGAGATCATTGGATAAAATATTCAATTGTTAATAAAATTAATTTTCTTAGTGAAATTGTATTCATGACCCCATTTACTGTTTTGGGAGATTATTTTTAATTTCGAATTTGTATTATTACTTTCTTATATATCTTCATGCTCAATCAACTAATGTTCAAATCCCTCTTCCCAAATCAAACTCATGCCACATTAAAAACAGATAAAACTCTATTTTGTTATTATTTCAGCCTTTTAGGGACTATAAGTTCCAGTGGTCTTGCTAATAAGTTTAATAACGAAGCATATATATTTTTTATATTAAAATCTTTTTATTATATTTTGCATTTATATTTAGTTTTTGACGATTGCAATCATGCATGGTTTTTTGTACATAAATTTTTGGTTAAGAGACTCTTTATTTTTATACTCTAAAAAAAAAGAAAGAAATTGCAATGAAATAGTAATTAAAGAGCCAATGAAAATTGGCTTTGAGAGAGATATAAACCTCCATAATTATCATAATTAATAAAATAAAACTAAGGAAAACCTAATAGCAATCGAATATCTGTGACGTGAAGAAGAAGGATTTCCTGATCCCCACGCCTATATATTCATTCAACGCCAATAGGCTTCTCCAAAACATCCTAACAATAAGTAGTCCATCCTCTCTAGCTAGTTTCTCTAGTAAAACGCTGCAAAAATCCCAGAATTTTGCCATGGCTATCCTCTCTGATTACACAGAAGATCAAGAAAACAATAATTCGTCTTCTCCATTGTCTTTCACTGCAATTCTTGACCCTTCAAATCCTCTAGGGTTTCTTGAATCTGCCTTTAGCTTTGTCTCTCAAAACTCTGACATGTTCAAGAGCGGTTCTGCCGAGAAGAAAATATCATGTCTGGTTAAGAATATCAAGGAAAGAATAATCAAAGAAGGGGCAGCGAAGAAAGAGCAAGACAAGAAAGAAAAGGAGAAGGAGGAGAAAAAGAAGCTAACCCCAAACAAGGCCAACGGTCTAGACATGGAGAACCATTCTTGGGGACAAAACCTGCAAGAGGTGACTGTTACCATTCCAGTCCCTCAGGGGACAAAATCCAGGGACGTTTTATGCGAAGTAAAGATGAATTATTTGAAGGTTGGCCTAAAGGGTCAGACTCCCATTGTTGATGGGCAGTTGTTTGAGGTGTGAAACCTAACGATTCGTACTGGAGCTTGGAAGACCAAAAGATGATCTCGTTGCTATTGACCAAATGTGACAAAACCAATTGGTGGAAATCCTTATTGAAGGGAGGTCTGGAGATTGATACTCAAAAGACAGAACCAGAGCCAAGCAAGTTGTCTGATTTGGACTTGGAAACAAGGTCCACCGTGGAGAAGATGATGTTTGATCAGAGGCAGAAGCAGTTGGGGCTTCCCACCAGCCAAGAGATCGAGAACCAAGACATGCTCAAGAAATTCATGGCTCAGAATCCAAATTTTGACTTCTCCAGTGCTAAGATGATGTAGATGGTTTGATCATGATCAAACTGAGATGGAAAATATCTCCTTAAATTCCTGAATTTTAACCAAATTAAGCTTTCTCTAAATATTTTTTTAAAAATCGGACTTGATTTTGCTTTGTGGCGCAAAATATTGTTTTTGGTATAGGTTTCTTAAATAAATTTATCTTTTTCTAAGGTTTATATCTTGTTAGTATTAAATTCTAATCTTCACCCATTTTTGTTTATTAGTCGTATAACTTTTTGCTCATTACCTAGACACACACATACATTCATGATTCATGGATGCTTGCCCACCTGCTTTAAGTGGACTCGCCACAATATATGTTGAACTAATGTAATGTGGGTTTTGTATTTTTTAAGCCCTTTTTTCCTTTGAGTAACATGTATAACATTCTTGCATACACCAAACATGAAACACACTTGCAATTCAAAACAGCCCAAGGCTTTGCATCAAATTTTTTTTCCTTTCCCTTGGGGTTTTTGATTGGTCTCCGTCATTATCCGTTAGTTTAAGCACTAAGGCTAACCGCCTAAGGCTTTGCTTTAGTAATTTCCTTTTCCTTTTTGTCGGGATGTTGGATTGGGCCTCTTCAGGCCCTTCTATCCATGGCTGCTGGAGTAGTGGAGTTCCTTGAGTAAATCACTCGAGAATTACTGAAGACTGAAAAGAAGGCTAAATCTAAATCGATTTTAATTAATTATATTCATCAATTCATCTTACTTTGATTATTTTAACATGATGTGAATATTGTGGAGGTCGTTGACTCCTCGACTTTTGAGCATTGACCATAAAAGTCATCTTGTATTAGTAATAAAATGCTCCATTTAAAATTACTGGTCCCATTAGTGTTTTTTTGTTTAATCTATATTTCTAATTCTTTTACACTTATTTTTTGAAGGCTTTGCTAAGGATCTAATTTACTTATTTGTATTTTCTTTTTACCCTTCTTTATTAATCAACAACTCTTCAGCACCCAATAGCCTATAACTCTGTTCCTTGTGTTTTCCTTCCCCATTTCAGGATCTCATGTTTTGAGTTTGTTCAGCAATTTTCTTGCATGGTAAAAATATAGTTTTCCTTCTGTAGAGTATTAATCTTTGTTTCCCTTTTCGTCTAGCTGTAGCTTAGCTTTCCCTTGCTGTTTGCGGATATCTTCTCCTTTTCTTCACAAGTATCCTCGACCTGGATACTAATAAAAATCTCAACGTTAAAGCAGCCGATATTTCCACTTTGACATAGAGCTCTAAATGATTAAAAGGAATATGGCTGCAACGACTGAACACCAAAATCTTAGTTCCAAAAATGGGTCTAAGCAGAAAGAGACCATGTACGACCCGTACCAAAAGAGTTTGCTGCCTCCATCTGAAGAGAAGTCGAGCAAGGGGAAGTGCTACAACTTCGTCAAAATTTTCAAGGTAGCAGGGGACGACACTTCTTCAAGCAATAAAGATCAGAAACGAGATAAGGCAGCAGCAAGAGCACCACCACCAGTTTCTTATGGGAATGCTACCCTAAACAATAAAGACGAAGGGAGCTCGTCACAGAAGAGAAAAATTCCCAAGACTTACGTCGATCCACATATGGTTCAAGGTTTTAAACTCTATGAGATGTCACTCGAAATTATGCTTCTCAAGGATGGAAGGGACGATTCGTTCAAGACAATCGGAGTTGTTGGGCTGCCTAGTGTTGGAAAAACGACACTTTCCATATCTCTTTAGTGAATGGCTCGTGCAATACATATATTATCCCGTCCATAAAGTCCTTAAGTCCCATACTTCCCATGATGAATCTATGAATATAGCCAGAAATTTCACTTATCTTTTTGATGATGTGGTGTAGGCCAGTAATCTGGCAGAGCTTATTGACAAGGAAGGTGATAGCCTTACTGACTTTGTCCTTATTAAAAGCCAATACAAATATCACACCAGACAGAAAATCGATGACTGCTTTCTCGACAGTTATGATCGAACGAACAACAAAGCGATAACATCCGTCAATATGCAGAAAGCCGGTGATTTTCTCAGCAATAACGCATGGCCATCTCGTGAATTTGTGGATTCTACTGGTATGGCTTTTCAGCCAATAACTTATCAAATTGTAGGATGAGAGAGACCCAGGCCAACTTCGGAACAAAATGGGAGTTGCCAACACATTATGATCCATCTCAAGCGGGTTCTCTACCAGTTTAAGATTCGTTGTCTTACACTTGCACTTTATCCACCATGGCCTCCTAAACAAAAGGAAGCTACTGAAGACTTTAGCCGAGATCCCCGAATTCGAATCGGGGTCCTTGATGGTAGCGAAAGTCCAGTCCGAAAAAATCAGCATCAGGAGCGCTATTACATCCAAAGCTACTGCACCCAGGAGCAAGGTATAGGTGATTCCCACATCAAATTGGTTAAAAGTCGTGTTTCTTTGTTCTGAAATGGAAGAGTCCAAGAGCTGCTAAAATGGACCCAAAGACTATATACCTTGGAATATATATTCCCAGGTGGAATGCACAACTTGCACCTTAGTATAAAGAACCTCTTATATGAAGTTGAGTTCAACCTCGATTACCCTCAGAGCATCATCTGCTTCCCATTTTTTGAAGAATTCTCGGCTCTCATTATGCTCCTGAAGATGAGATCCACCACAAGTTCCTTGAAGATTCGGGAATACTTATAAGCATAATGCACCACTTCGAGATCGCTCAACATGCCTTCCCTCACTGGAACATCAGTAGGCCTGGCTTCTTTATCAGGCTCTGGAATCATAATTATTTGCGATGGAAGTTATTCGCTCTCTTGGAAGCGTATTCCTTCATAAGCTTTACATAGTTTGGCCCAGGATCGGCTTCTTTAAGCATGGAATCTCGAATTCTGTCCAAGCTAGCAAGATACAAAGCACGCGTCCGCTCAACATACTTGATGGTTCCAGCAACAAACATGAGGACGGTGGGAACCCATAGCCTGGTCTTTGGAAGAGATTGAGCAAAGACATAAAGAGCAGCTACAGCTTGAAAACCGAGACCAAGCAAGTGCCTAAGCCAGAGTTCGTTATCTTCAAGAGCCATACCAGTAATTGTATCGGGACCACCAAGATGCAGCAAAAGAAAGGAAGCCCAGAAAGCCAAGAGATCTTCGTTGTACTCAGGAGATTGAGAAGTAGAAGAGTCAGTTTTAGAACCTCGGACTTGGCTGTTGGAGATGAGACCCACAGTGAATAATTATGAGCTTTTTATTGTATGCTGTCCACGTGCGTTCCGCACAAAGCACAATACAATGACGATGTATAAATATTAATCAGCGCAGTTAAATGGTTTTAAAGAAATTATAGAAGAAACTCAAATCTTAGAAAAAAAAAAAAAAATCCGAGCTAAAATATTTAAACAGGTGAGCGATATTTTCTGTCTCAGTTTGATTAGCATTGGAGAAGTCAAATTTTGGATTCTGAGCCACGAATTTCTCGATCATGTCTTGGTTCCCCATCTGTTGTCTGGTGGGAAGCCCCAACTCTGCTTCTGCCTCTGATCAAACATCATCTTCTCCATGTTGGACCTCTTTTCCAAGTCCAAATCAGACAATTTGCTTGGCTCTGGTTCTGCCTTCTAAGTATCAATCAGACAATTTCTGAGTGATTTTTTGTATTATTAATAATTAAATAAAAACAATTGAATTATAATAATTTATGCTTCTTAGATAATTTTCACTCAGTATAGTTGTTTTGGTTTTAAAACCATAAAAAAAACCCGCTCGTTGTATCGGCCCAAAAATAGCCCAAAAAAACCAAAAAAGGTAAAATCCCCTAAAACTCCCTCACTTACCCAACTCTTTGTGTCAGTTTTTTTTTTTTTTGGTAAAAAATAAAATACAGCATTGTTTATGGTCTATACCATATGGTACAGTAATTCTTTAGTATTTTATTCGTACACTAATTATTTTTTCTACAAATAATAAATAAATTACGTTAAGGATAGCTCACGCAAGGAATAATAATTTTTAGTAAGAAAAAGAAAAGGTGAAAAAGAAAAAAAGAGGCTTTTTCAGGTCTCCACCTGAAGAAAGGAAAAATCAAAGCCTCACCCGAAGGATGAGTCTCTTCGGTCTGGGCAGGTGACTGACAATTTCCACTTTTCTTTTTTTCTTTTAAATTTCTCTTAAAAAAATCTGTTTTTTTGTTTATTTGTAATGTTGCGTTGATAATTTATGTCCGATCTATTATAATTCTTCAGCCTTTTCTGATTCAAGATCAGCGATCAAGCTCATCTTTTTGGCTTCATTAACTTTAATTAAAATTCTCAAAATATTTCATTTATTTTCCTCCCTGATTCTTCGATTGCTCTGTTAACTGTAACTGCAATGCGATTGTTGTTTCAGAGCAATTGGTTATGGTTAGCTGTGCTTTTGTTGATTAAATTCTCAAAGCTTTTTGTCTTAAAACAGTCCTATCCTCCATTATGGTTTGGCTGTGAAACTGTTCCCTATATGTTAATAAAAATCAAAGGCTATACATTAACGATAGTGGATCTTAATGCATGTTGAACTTGTCTTGGTGTTCTGATAGCTTGTGATTAGTTGGTTCAATGTTAGAACTATAACTAAAAGCTATGCCGTCCCAGGTGGTTTTTGTGAATGACAATGTTAGAAAGGTTGAAAAGGTCTGAACTTATGCTAAATTATTTATTTTTTTACCTTAAAATAATGACCATATTGAGAAGGGTGAGCTTTGTGTCTTGAAGCTGGATTGTATTGAGTGAGTATCAAACTAGGTCTGTTGACAATTTGCAGCCTTTGTTAGACGACTCGTGGTGGCAGAATGAAGTTCAGAAAATTGAATTAACTGGATCAAAAAGTAATAGAAATGTATAAATGTAGTCTAAGGAAAGCTAATTAATTTGCCAAAAACAAATTTATTAATCAGGTTCGAAGCATGCTGGATATCTTTCATAGTTTTCAGTTAGATAGGAGCTTTGGCTTTCTATCTTGCTCTCTATTGTGCAATATGTGTCCATGTATGTGTGATTGACACTATTTCAAGCCATAAAAGAGAAACGTACAATTAATCTACTGAAATGTGTTTTTTCTTAATTTGTTAAAAATCAATTTTATACTTTGCTTTGGTTTGAATTCCTCAAACTATGTTATTATAAATCTTTATCCTAATGTACCATACTGTACTCATATGAAATAACTTAAATACACACAAGCTTTGTCTATGATCCTCTAAATTTATGGGAAAACTTGTGAAAAATGAACTTAGATATGTTGGATGTGGGTATATTTCTGACTCCCCCTCCCAAGTCTTAGCAGCATAGCCGTTAAATATTTGTTTATCTTTTCAGTTGATACATTTTCCTGATAATAAATTGCTCTGAAAACAGAAATCAGCGAACATTCCGCCCAAAAAAAAGTGCACCTTCAGGAAGTAAGGTTGGTTACTTTTGTTCCTTTTTCTTCTTTTAATAAAGCATATAATTAATATTGTTCATCTCCTGCATGTTAGAATTTGATGTGATTTTTCTCTTACACTGTGTTTGAATCTGTTGGATTGTTGATGTAACCATCCCAAATTTCGGTTGGGAAATTTGTTTTTCCCCTTTTTGATGACTAAGAAGTTCTTGGGTGTGAGCATGCAAATTTAGCACACTGGGAGTATGCTAGAAAGTATCCAGAAAGAGAAACAAAATAAAAGTGAGGACAACTTAACACCTAAGATCTAATACATCCAAAAATCCTAAAAAAGTCCCTGGACTGTTGGCTTTATTTGTAAAGCAAGCTAAGAAAAGAAGCTCCTGAATCCTTGATTTAATGCCTTTTGCAGATTCTTCTACATCTTGGCTTTTTAGCTACTTAAATGGTTGCCTTTATTTCTGAACCTTGTTATTTATCTGTTTGTAAACTAAGAATTCACTTTACCATAGCTATCAAGAAATGAAGAAAAAGAAAATCACATTACCATTCGTATTTCTATTTAATAAATTCCATTGCTTTTGAAGTCACATTCAAAGAATAACTTTATGTTACGATTTTTTAGTTAAATTTTCAGTGGAAAGCTGAAATAATATGAATTTCAATGCACTACTGACCTACATGAATATCCTACAGCCCCACTTGTGGGACTCACTCTTGGATGTTAGATTGCATTGTATGCACATACTACACGTGATTTTCTTTTTTTTATAATTAAATGGGTATCTATATCTAAACATGGTTAGTACTGCTGTATTGTTAAGCTTGACAATAATTGAATAGCCTTTTTGAGGTTTCTCTCCATTTCTTGAGAGCTGGCATGTCTTTATATAAAATGTTTTGTGGACTTCAGTCTGCTATAGAAGTGGCTTAGTAGAATTTGCAGTTCTCATCCCAGTATTGTAATCTTGACATAATGCAGGGTGCACAGCTTAAAAAGCACATTGATGCCACCCTGGGTAGTGGAAACCTAAGGGAAGCAGTAAGGCTACCTCCTGGGGAGGATTTAAATGAATGGCTCGCAGTCAACAGTATTTCTTACTCCCTCTCTATCTTATTCACATACACCTGGCATGCACATATGCACACATTCTGAATAAATCCTTCTATATATTGTAAAACTGTGCATATAATTGTTGGATCTTTTTCAGCTGTGGATTTCTTCAATCAGGTGAATCTGCTCTATGGTACACTCACAGAGTTTTGTACTCCTGAGAACTGTCCTACAATGACTGCAGGCCCTAAGTATGACATATTAAACCAGATTCCTTTTGCCCCTTTCAATAAATTAGTAGTAAAAATCCTATATTTTAATATTTCATCATGTTGCATAACCTCTGTCATGTTTGGATCTGTTGATTGTTTCGAAAGTGTTCCTCTCGAATGATGGATGCATTAAGTCATAAAGGATCAAGAAAAACTGAGACTTCCTTGACGTAAATTTAGGCGTTTTATCTCTTTGAAACATGCATGATAATTGCATTAATTTATTTTTGTCTAAAGATATATATCCTGCCAAATGTTATCGAATTATGATGTTGGAACATATAATAGAATATTGTTTGATAAGTGGGACGAGAGCGAGACTATGCATCACATTTCTGTTGTTTTCATTAGTCTTAATATGTGGTAAAATTGTTTTTATTATTATTAATTCACCTTAGCCTTTTGTAATAGTTTGAATTTTGCCTTACATTTTCAGAGGTCTGTAGAAAGACAAAATCTGTTTTAGCTAGAATTGTTCTAAGAGTCAAAGTCCTTGTATTCATTTGATTCTGGCCAATTATTACACCTTGTGCAGAATTTAACCATGAAACTTGGATCCTCCCCTACCCCCCCTCCCCAAAATTACTGTAAATTTTTTTGTTTTCGTGTTTGGTTCTTGTACCTTTCACTATCTGGTCAATCAATTTAACAATTCCATCCTTACCTGCTGCAAACCCTAATTTGGTCTACTCATTTGTAAAAATCTTTCAAAGTATATATCTTGGGTTTATTGGAGTTGATTATTTGCTTTCTTACAAAACTTAACAGGTATGAATATAGATGGGCAGATGGTGTGCAAATTAAGAAACCTATCGAGGTTTCTGCTCCAAAATATGTTGAATATCTAATGGACTGGATCGAAGCACAGCTTGATGATGAATCCATATTTCCTCAAAAGCTTGGTAAAATCTTCATCAGTCATGTGCTTAATCATCTTTAATTCCTTGTGATGAAGTTGGACATACTGTCATAGAGAAATTCTTTTGACTATGTATGACGACAACAGCGATGATTAACTTTTTCTAATATTTATACTTGTCCCAAAAGGAAACAAAATTATTTTACCTCGTATCATTGCTAATTACTTTCCTCTTGCATATTTCAAATTTGCTAGGCACACCGTTTCCCCCCAACTTCAAGGAGGTGGTGAAGACAATATTCAAAAGACTGTTCCGTGTATATGCCCACATCTATCACTCTCACTTTCAGAAAATTGTGAGCCTTAAGGAGGAAGCCCATTTGAACACATGCTTCAAGCATTTCATTCTGTTTACTTGTGTAAGTCTTCTTCTGCTTGATATTTAACTCTTTTATTCTCTACCCTCTTGTTCAAGGCAGGCCTCTTCCACTATTTGCCTATTTTACACAAATGTAAATAAATCCAGTTGTTTATCTATGAGTACTACTAAATTACAGTAGTCAGGTTGCATAATTCTACTACAAATTTGTTGCAATATGGTTAGTTTCACTCATTCATGAAACCTTTCTCCTTTTTTTTTTTTGAAAGAATGCAGTGCAAGGTTTCTTTTATCTAGGGACGCTGTTATCTTTAGGATTTGCTTTTTGCTTTGTGCATAATCTTTGATAAGCCCAATTCAAATGTGAAAGGGGAAAAGAGGGAAGAGAAAGAAGACGGTGGGGAGGGTGGACGCAATCTTCCTTAAACTAGAGGAGAATAGCTTAAAGATGTTTGATGCAACTTCTAGAACAAGTAGTCAATGATTCTTTGAAACCAAAAAAAAAAAAAAGGGTATAAGCGAAAGCTTGCCATTATTTTTTTCCTAGCAGTCATGGTTTCTTTCATATGGTATGTGTCATGATTTTTGCAGAAAAACCTGTAATTGTCACAAAAACCGGAATATGGTTTTAGTCCCTATTTTAGGAGATTTACCCCCATCCTCACCCACTGACCATCCTCATTAAGCACAGGTAGTAAGGTTTGAAAGGTCCTTTTAATCTCTGAAACTTTCTTTCTGTGAAGCAAGAATGCTTAGTTGACTAGAAAGTTTATGTTGCATGTGCAGGAATTCGGGTTGATTGACAAGAAAGAGCTAGCTCCACTTCAAGAGCTCATAGAATCCATCATAGTGCCCTACTAAATATATAGGGTTGGAGAGTTGGAGATCCTGAAATATTTTTATTTTAGGGATGCAAAAGTAATAAGTTAGACTATTTTAGTATGCGACTTAAAAAGTCTCTCTTTCTCTATGTTATAAATGCAATTCATATGCCATCTTCCTTGGATTTAAAACTTTGCAGGGAGTGACTCTGTTGTTTTTCTTCCTTTTTTTGGATGCCTAGATCAAGCATTTGCGAAAAGCAGCTTGTCCTGAAAGTAATGAAAGCCTGAATTTCCTTTTAATTATTGCCATTTTTGTTATTTGATCTTATACTTGTTGGAACTTGGAACAAAAACCAAGCAAAAGGTAACAGCTTGATTTTGATGTATATACATATGTTTTCTAAAAGATTATTCTATTAATGAATGGGAATTGAAGTTTGAACACTAGCCACCTCACTCTCACCCCTTTGTGAAGAGAATTAAGGTCTGTGAAAATTGTCTAAATCCCAGTTTCAATAATTGCATAACAAACGGAAATGAAATGAGAGAGCGAAGAGTTACCATTGTCAGCATGAAAAAGAATATTGAATTGAGGTATAATTTAGTTTTGTCTTTGTAGATCACATCATTATTCCCTGTTGATTTTGACGAACTTACACATGTACAAAAACAGAATACACAGTATTTCCCCAACAATGAAAAGTCAAGCATCTTCATCGCTCCCTCCCAAGAAACCTGGAAATAGCAGACAAGTGTTCGTCATTATTAACAGCATAAGAGAAAAATCTACCATCATAAGCAGATTTTACAGGGCATTTTTAAACTTCAGAGGATGACAAGATGGTCATGTGTCATTGGCATGGTAACCATAAGAAACTCACTTCCATTTCCCTTCTACTTGGAAGTGGCTCTTCTTGATTTTAACCCAACATCAGTTAAAGATAGTACCTTTAACTGTAACGCATTAAATAAAAATGAACAAGAAGACTAACCTTAATTTAAATCCCAAGTCAAGACTACATACCCTGCTTGAATCTCATTCTCAGCCATCCTGAACCGAATGCGTGCTTCCAAGATCAGAATTCCCATATCTTGAAGCTGCAAAACCATATGATCCTACAACAGCAACAAGGACACCCAGTACCAGAGAGAAGAGCTGGAAGTTAGCAATCAACTCGCCTCGAACCTCACTATCTGTTGGATGGCAATATATTGCATTTCCCGTGAGCCGACAACCATCTGGCATCATGGGGCCATAGAGGGTGAAAGCAGTCTGATAGAACCAGAGGCCTTGGAGAGTTATAGCAATTCCACTACACAAATCAACTGGGAAACTGTTTGGCAAGAAAGCTCCAGCAACAGTGGTCAAAATGCAGAGTCCAATTAAAAGGACAAGGACAAGATGGTAGTATCCTTCGAGGCCCTTGTGAGTGGTTGAGTGAAAGTAGAATAGCAGATACTCTGCAATGAATGCTGCAGCCGCGATAAGACAAAGGGCTCCTTGTGGTAATGAAAGAAAACTGAGCAAGAAGAGATTCCACCAAAGATGGTTGTAAAATTAGACATATTTAACAACAACTGGTAAAATATATATATTTGCAATGATGAATTATTCATGGCTAAGTGGAAATGGGAAATGAAAAAAATATTTATGAGATAGAGTAAACATTTTGAAATAAAACAACCATGATTTCAGACAAAGTAATTATAATAATGGCATTTAAGAACCATGATTGCGTTGTGCAATTACATGTGTTGCTAATATCAGAAGCCAAACTCAATAAGAAGTTCAAATTTGATGTGAACTATACTCAAGTCAGAAAATTCATCTTTGCTCAGCTTAGTGGAGGTTTTGGATCTTTTAGATCAAGTAGTAAAAAGTGGACAAATTATTTTCCTTTCTTGTGTTTTCCTAGAAAAGAACGGGGACAACCTACAAAATGTGGGCAGTTCAAATTTAAAAGCAACAGGCAGCAACTATAATGATTACAGCATTGTTAAATTATTCAGTGACAAAAAAAGAGATAAAGAGAAAGATTTGTTCCTTACAGCAATTATGATCATTTCATTGTTTTCTGATTTCAAAAGGAGATTGTCTATGCTTTTCAATTATAATATTTTGCATAAAGAAATATTCGTGTCCATTAAAGAATGAAATTAAGTAGTCTCAGATTCAAATGCCAGAGCGTTCTATAACATTCTCCATTCCCATTCCAAAGGAAACAAAAAAAAAGGCAAAAGCAAAACCGTCCCCCTTCAAATTTTTGCAAAACAAACATAAGCTATGAAAAGATCAGGACTGACCTCGTTTTCTCTGAAAGCAGAGCGATAGCACCTAAGAGTAAAAACATGAGAAGCATCCCGGAATGCTCAAAATCATTCAAGTGTGATGGATTCAAGACTCCATTGACAAAAAACTTGAGGTGGGTTGAATACAAAAGCTCAATACACAAATCAATAAAAGCACCAATGGCGACGACATAAAGCTCGAAGTATTTTAACTTCCCATCAAAACCAGGAACTGGGTTCCACACTCTGACCTCAAAAGACTTGGGGTTTGACACATACCGAAACACAGAACTCCATATGTGCCATACGCCAACCATCAGAAACAGAGTCCCCGGCAAAACATGACCCTTGAAAGATCCCATCTCTTTGTTGATATATCTATCACTTTCTTATCTTTTGTTTCAGACACAGTCAGCTCTAAACTCTTGCAATCTCTTCTTCTTGTTGTTTTATCAAGATATGTTATTTTTCTGCTTCAAAGGGTAAACAGTTTTAGCTTTCATACATTGAATCTGATTATCTATATAGAAGACTTAAAAAATTAGACAAATGATAAATCTTTGAACAAATTGAATGAACAAGCTTTTTGACAGCAAAGAAAGGTTGCCTTATTGCATTAGACTACAAAAATTTGGTGAAATTCCGTGTCAACTTTGTTTGCTGACGAGAAAAATATTGAAAAGTAAATAAAAAAAAAAAGGAAAAAACTTTTTATACTAAAAGGAATGACTTTTTAAGTTCACAGTTGCAGCCAACCTTTACAGATGTTTTCAAATTTCAATTAATCAATTGGAAACCAACATAAGTCATAGAAATTGAGGCATATTTGTTTCTTGAGTTTTCCCAAGAAACAAGCAGAACAAGATGGGCTTCAGAAATATTGGTTCTGCATCAAAAGTCTTCTGTTAAAATAACTCATTTTTAAAAGTCAAATTTTCCATCGTTTTGGTATTTAAGCTTAGAAAAAAAAAACCACTAAAGTCAATATTGAAAAATCCCAATAGAAATCATTCCTGAAGGAAAATCGTGAGAAAAGAGAAATAAAATCAGATCCATGTCCGTTGAAAAGTCAAGCTACAGAATGCAGACAAAACCATTTTAACTGGAAAAAGTTTCACAGAGGAAAAAGGAAAAGGAAGAAGTTTTTGTAAAGTAGTAAGATTTTATGGGTAATCGATTTCTTTTTTCTTTTTTTTTTTGAATTAAATAAAAAAAATGAAGATGAAAAGAAATACAATTAAAACTAACAGATGTAACAGGATGAAAGTACTTACAAGACATGATTGAGTTACAAAGCTTTCTCCAAATCAGAACTCAAGAAGAAATCATTCACTGAATTTAATAAATCATTAGAATAAACTAAAAAGCAAAGGGAGAGAGAGACAGTGGGGATCTGAGAAAGAGGAGTAAAAAAAGGAGGAGGCAGAAAAAGTGATGGAGATCATAAGGGAATCATATCAGTTATCAGACAATGTTTTTCCCATGTGTTTTATTCCATGTAGCCATCCTTATTTGTTTGTGTTACTCCTTCCTTCCTCGGTTTCATATATATTGTATTGTTAATTTATTTTTAGTTCTCTTTTGTTACTCTTAATTACATCCATAAATTTGTTTGAAAACAAAAACTTATAATCAATAAAAGTCAAAATTTAATTCAAAAGCTTTTAAACTTTGAGCAAAATTAAAATGAGACAGTGTATGAAAGGGAAAAAGTATTATTTTATGAAAAATTAGCCAAAAGATTAAAAAAAAAAAAGAGAAAATCTATTGGAGTTGACTCACAGGCCCTGTCTCCAATAACAATAGGTCCACATTGGTGTCTACATCCGTTGGATCGTGGGATGTAACACGTGTGGCCTTTGATGGAATTAAATCTTGTCATTGGATTTAGCACCTGTGGGCCTTGCTGTTTTTATTTTTTTGGATCTACAGGAAATTATGGAAACAAGCTCATGGGCTATTACCCATCAGGCGAGCACTAGCTGCAATCGAAAACCACGATTTTGACCAGCCCATGCTTTTGGCTTAAAATTCGCCACGTGGATATTCATTCATGGTCCTAAGCTGACAACTACTTGAAACCACTTGTATGCTGCCTGTCTTATCTTGACCTAAAAAACGTTTTCCATTATTTTCCCCCCGTGCTTTTCACTTGCCCATTCCTTGTCAATGGCAATAAGAAAATTAAAAGATTGAAGTTGAAGTTTAAAGATTAACCATAATACAATTGATTTGGACCACAGAAAAGCAAACAAAGATGAAGACTAAAGTTTGAATAATAATAATAATAATAATAATAATAATAATAATAATAATAATTTAGAGAGAGAGATAGTGGTGGTGTATGGCTCACTTACTACAGAGCCAGTCTTTTATTTCAAGGAGTGTGTGGACAGAGCCCCGGCTACAGCACCAAGCTCACACATGCGTTAAACTCAGTGATCATCCTCATGGAAGCTGGAAAATCTATGGGAAGAAAAGAGCAAGAGGGACTTCTTCTTTCAATGGTTGTGTTGTGCAGTGCTGCACTACTTCTTCTTCTTCTCCTTCTTCAGCCTCGATGTCATCAGCCAAGGCTGGTGTGAAGCTGGCTGTAAATGCAGTGGAAGATAATAATAACAGCAGATGGAAAGATAGAGAGGACCAGCCTTTTTATTTGGCAAGCGAGTACGGATGGAAAGTGAGGAGATTGGAGGAGGATCAATACGAAATAAGGAAGGTTGCCCAAATTCAAGCAGAAGCATTCCACCAACCAATGGCCTTCTTCGATGATCTATTCTTTCAGTTCTTCGAGGTTTCTTTCCTTTACCCCTTCTTCTTGCTTCTTATATCTCTTTTTTTTTTCTTTGTGATTTCCTTTTCTTTTTATTTTTCCGGGATTAATTTCCTTCTTTTGTTTCACCCTTGTGTGGAAGAGAATTCTACCTCTTTAAACCACGAGCATCTTAAAATTAAAATGATAAATTGGGAATAATTTGGATTTTGGACTAACAGCAGCCTCTAATGCATGAAAATCCTATACGCTACATTAAAAAATGGAATAATGAGGAAAATAGAAGTGATAAATGCATTATAAACTATTAAGGATTTATACGAGTTTTAATGCCCTATAGTTAACAGGCGGAGGTGCTTTCCGGGCTCATATACAAACTTAGGAACTCACCTCCAAGCAGGTAATCAACTTTTAATTCCAGGAAAAAAAATACCACTTTCATATTACATCAACGTTAATTTATTTGAAGATGTAAAATATGCTGTAATTTATTTATATCTATATATATATGCTGAACAGGTATGCGTGTTTAGTCGCTGAGTCTTCCACGGATGCTAATTCTGAATCGCAAAGAAAACCGGTGGGCGTCGTGGATGTCACAGTGTTAAGAGACGAGGCTGTTCTTCAACACCTTCATGGGGCAGAGGAATACCTTTATGTTTCGGGGCTCGCTGTTTCAAAAAGCTTTCGGTACAAAATATAATAATAGTAATTTCCTGTGTCTCAGACATTTATTTTTGTGACACTATAATGCGGTTGATCATGGCCTGTAAATATGGTTAACAGGAGGAGGAAGATCGGTAGTTGCTTGCTCAAAGCTTGTGAGGTGCTGTCGGTTTTGTGGGGTTTCAAGTATCTTGTCCTTCGGGCTTATGAAGATGACTTTGGTGCTCGCACGTTGTACACAAATGCAGGCTATCGAGTTGTCTCAGGTGATCCGCCATGCTTGACTTCTTGGATTGGGAGAAGGCGTCGTGTTCTTATGATTAAACAATGTAGTTTCCTTAACCTTATTTAGCTCTTCCTTTCAGTCTCGTATATAACAAGGATCGTAGATCGGAGAATGGAGAAACATCAGTATATATGTTTTTTCCCTTGTTTATTACTTTCAGGCCAACTTATATCACAAAGATATGACTGTTATTTATTTAATGGTTTTAATATTAATGTTTTCATATTATTTATTTATTTTAATTGGGAAGAAGATAATCTTTCCAAGGTAACGGGTGAATATTCATTTTGTCCATCCAAATTTATTGCGCTGACAAGGAACCAACTTACTTTAAGTTGAATTCCCAGGCCAAAGGCTCAGAAGGTTATTTACGTAATATCACGCTTAGGAGCCTGGGTCCAAAGCATTTTCTTTTCTCGAACCGATAATCATAGTCTCAGATCCAGCCCATAACGTCTGCTTGGAAGTCAGCCCCGCTTATTTCAAATCTGGCAAAGCGTCACGGCTCTAAAGATACTTCTTACCCCACTCACCGAATCATAAGCATACACGTGGCATCGCCTCCTGCGCCCTCGCCTTTTTAACACTTACGTGGGATCTGTCAAATCCGTCCGTCAGAATCTTACCTCAATTCCACCGTCGCCATACCACTCCTCCCTTCAACTTTCGTCATCTTATTTCGCAACTATCGCCGATCCCGGAAATCCCAACCACCCCACCGCCTCATAAATCTATCTCCACGGATTTCCCCTTTTCCAAAATTGTTATAGTATTCTTTTTGTAATTTTTTTTGCCTAACTTTTACTTATATAAACAGTAATATTAATTCATAAAATAAAAATAACATAATTTCTGATCGACCCATTTTTTTCTCTTTCAAAACACGCCCTCTATTTCCTTCTTTTTATATAATTCAATTTTTCCTCTGTAAACTTTCTTTGATCCTGCTTGCTCGTCTCTTTCTCCTTTTTTTTTTCTTTCTACTTTTTTTTGTTGCCGTCTTTTTTATTTCTCATCTCTTCATCGTAGAATACAAAATCAAAATTTGCTTTTGTAATTCTCGGGTTCACCGCAATGTCGAATTCAAATCCTGGAAACTCTTATACGAATGAGAATTAGGAATCATCGATTCGCCTGCTTCCTGATTTCGACGATAAAGTGGGAGACGATTAGAGATCAATGACTTAGGCGGCAGTGATCTCGCGGAAGCAAAGATTTACGATCTAAGCTTCCGATTTTTCATAGTAGTTGGAAATTCGGTTGTTGTTGGTGGATTTTGAGAGGGCAGGAATGTCGAAGGTGGTGTACGAAGGATGGATGGTGAGATATGGACGAAGGAGGATCGGGCGATCCTTCATACACATGCGATATTTCGTGCTCGAAAATCGGCTCCTGGCTTACTACAAGAGAAAGCCACAAGATAATCAGGTCTTTAATTGTTTTGTTTTTGAATTCTCAATTTTGTTTAGGCATTGTTTAGCTTCTTAAATTATTGTTTTATTTTATATTAATTTTTTTTGTTAAAAAAAGTTTAATTCTCTCTTTTTTTTTTTGGATCGGAGAAGAAAGAAAAGTTGCTTTTAGAATGCTAAATTAAGTGCAACTAGGTTCGATTTAATTTTATTTTCAGTAATGGAACTGTACGGTTGATGCTGCTATGCTTTTAGTAAAAGCAGAAGCATCTTGTTGACAATGGTGCTTGATATCTCTGAATTCTTACTGTTTATGAAAAAGAGAGTTTTTTTTTTTTTTGAGGAATCTTTGTGTTTCTTTTGACTATTCGCTTTTGTGCAATGTGTTCATTTTATAACTAAATGCTGGCGCCGCTGTTAACTATTAAGAGTTTTTGTGTTTTCTAAATTTAGGTTCCAATCAAGACCCTGTTGATAGACGGAAACTGTAGGGTGGAGGATCGAGGTTTGAAGACTCACCATGGACATGTGAGTTGTTGTCTTCTCGTGTGTATGTGTGTATTTGCTTGTATTCTATTTTAGCCTATCATGTTATAACGGTGATGACGGTGCAAAATGTTGCTGTCGATAGCTGAGAGCTGAGACCGTCCAATATCATATATACATAGATAGATATTCATGTATTTGCACGTGTGTATAAATAAGCATATCATCAAGTCACAAATAATCAGCCATTTCTCGAGCTAATGATTACTGTGTGTTTTCTATTATTGTTTTCTAGTGATTTGGGAGTCTCCTTATTGACCAATTGTAATGTTTATACTTTGCTTCATATATCCCCTTTCTCTCTTTCTTTCATCAAGAGACTCATTCGTGCTCTTGCTTATTGTCTTAGTATATGTACTCCTGATACCAGTGTAATGTTTCATTATCAGTTATATTCTGATATACAGTGAAATGTATTCCTTTAGATATAACACTCATTTATACTTCATTTTAATACACATGGTTTATGTTTTGCAGATGGTTTATGTTTTGTCTGTTTACAGCAAGAAAGAGAAGTACCACAGAATCACGGTTTGTTTTTTTTATTTTAATTTGTGGAAATAGTAAATGAATGTGTATTCTTTGATGCTTAATAACTTTGCCACCATGAGGAGAGGGTGTAGGAATGGACATCATTGCTACTTTGCTATCGGTGAATTACTTATATCATGTATTTTGGCAAATCAACATTGTTTCTGTCAGTTCTATGCTGAAGGACTTAAGTCACATTAGCATAGATTGGTGCACTTGGTTTTACTATACAGACATATACTTGGAGTCCATTTTGATTGCTCTTAATGGTTTTGTGTACTACTAATTGAGTTAGCCGTTTATTATGTGTGAATTTATTGTTAAATAGGACTGAAAACTTTTCATGATGGAACTGGAGTGATATCTGTTTTAGAAGTGATACTATGCACTGTGTTTCTCTGCCATTGTGCAAGCATAACTGACACATGTTTTTGATTTACTATATAGCCCTTTGACCTCTGTGTTTCTTTTCACAATTGTTTTGTCCTGTACATCCAGTTACAAATTCTTATGCTTTTGAATTTTAGGAACCTAAAATAAATCCATGTCTGCATTCTTGTTTCTAGATGGCAGCATTCAACATCCAGGAAGCCCTAATGTGGAAGGAAAAAATGGAGTCTGTGATTGATCAGGTTCATCTCCGAGTCTGTAACTTAGTTACTACTTTCTTTCCCTGCTTCAGATTTGCATTTTGAAGTTGATTCTCCCTTATCAACTTATGTACAGTTTAGTGTCACAATTTTCCTATTGAACTGAATATATTGTTTGTATTAATCTGTTACCCAGATTGTTTCAATTGTCTAGTTACATTAATTTCATATGCAGCATCAAGAGTCACAAATTTCTAATGGCAACAAATATGTTTCTTTTGAATATAAATCTGGGATGGATAATGGGAGGACTGCTTCTTCATCGGACCATGAAAGTCAGTAAGTGCCAATTTATCATTATTTTCTGTTTGCTGTTGTCTATGTGTGTTGATAAAAGTGACTGTTTGGTGTAGGGCTGTGGGCTTTAGTCAAGCTACCTGGGTGCTTTGAAGTCTTTGGATCAAATTCGCATGGGTAGAGAGTTATTGTCATAAATGAGTGGGGGAAGGCTAGAATAATTATTTTTGATAAAAAGAGGTCTTATGTTTTGTGGGATTTCGTACACATCTTACATCTTCCGAAGTATTGCAATTTTAAAATATAGCATACATGAATTATATAAATATTTCATGGTTGGAACAGGTAAATACATTTTGATATTTTCAATATCAGCCCAAACCTTGTGACTAATCTTCTGGTTATAGATGAATATCGAATGGTTCATTATGCTTGCATTACTGCTGGCTCAATGAATGATTGCTCTGCTCCTTGTTTAGTGACAAGCTGAATAAAGCACAGTTCATTTGCTCCAAATCTATTCAAGGCTGATTTTCAAATTAAAATGAATTAAAGTTCCTTGATTCTTATTAGTTGTTGGCATTTTCCCCTATATATTTTTTTTGGAAATGGTAAGACAAGTGATTAGTGATCCTTGGCCAAACTTTTAATTTCTTAATTTTTTTTTTCTCTAGGTTCAGTGCCCAGGAGGATGAAGATGATGCTCCTCCAAATTTGCTTAGGAGAACAACAATTGGAAATGGTTCTCATTTGATTTCCTTTTCTTGTCTACTTTACACTATTACATGCAATTATCTGAATCTCAACATTTCTATAAAATGTCAGGTCCTCCAGATTCAATATTCGATTGGACACGGGAATTTGACTCAGAATTATCAAATCAAAATGCCAACAACCAAGCTTTTTCTAGAAAACATTGGCGCCTCCTTCAATGTCAAAATGGTTAGTTTTTCATTGATCCTTCCATTTTAATGGCTTTTAAGTTCAACCCAGGTATGAAATCTCGAAAAATAGTTTGAGTGTAAGGGTATTTTAATTACAAAAGTGCAGTGTCATTCTGAATCTGAATATTTTCTTTTATATGACAGGACTTCGCATTTTTGAAGAGCTTCTTGAAGTTGATTACCTTGTATGGAACTGTTTCATCACTTGCTTCATACGTTCTATTTATTTATTTTTCAGTGCATCAAAATGTTTTGGGTGTTGATTATCACTTATATTTTCTTTATGTAGCCAAGGAGCTGTAGTAGGGCGATGAAGGCTGTAGGTGTTGTGGAAGCTACTTGTGAGGAAATATTTGGTCTTGTAATGAGCATGGATGGAACTCGATTTGAGTAGGTTTCCTATTTTTTCAATTAAAATATATATATTTTAATTTTTTAATGCACAAGACAAATGCATACCTTTGTCCATCTACAGAATCATTTCAAAATTTATTTGCTTTAGATATTTGGGGAACTTTTGATATTTCCTATTTATATTATTTACCTTCTGCAGGTGGGATTGTAGTTTTCAATATGGTAGTTTAGTTGAAGAGGTAGATGGGCATACAGCTATACTTTATCACAGGCTTCAGTTGGACTGGTTCCCTATGTAATATTTTCTCTCCATTTCAAATAATTTCTGTTTATGCTTTCATTGTATTGAATATTTATCTTTTGAAGCAGCAGTACCAGCATAGTTTGTTCTGTTTTGGGAACAAAAATTGTTAGGAAAACACAAATCAGAGCTTGTGAATCCCCGTTTAGCATTTCTTTGATGTGAGACAAACTTTAATTGTTGACAATATAATTTATCTAACCAATGCATTTAGAAAATCCCAAAAATGGACAAATTAAGCCTAGTATGCGGGATGCATGCTGCTAGGCACCAAAAGAAGGACTGTATCAATGAAATGCAAGAAAAAAAAGAAAAACCAAGCAAGTGGAAACAGAAATATTAGAAAAGACCTAGAGAGGGAGAGAGATGAGTATGTGCTGATGTGTTTACAATAATCGAAGAATTGAATCTTTTTTGCATTATGGTTTTTGCCCTCTAGATTTGATATTTTACGGAAGTGTTGGCTAGTAATCTGGAATGGGCTGTCAATAAGATTGATGAAGAGTTAACGGTTTTTCCGCTAAACTTTCTTCTTCGTATAAACCTTTGTATGATACTTACATGTATGCACATACACATTTTCAGATGACAAAGAAGGAACTTTTGAATCCTTACTTTAATTTTATAGGAGTGACCCTACTATAGTTATTATCCAAGGTTTATTATAACTTTGTTCACTTCATTGAAGATTATTTATGCGACCTTGTAGAATATTTCTAAAATTATGCTTCAGTTTTTAAAAGAAATCTTTGTTTCTTCTTCCTTCATGAAGTATGGGCAATTTTCAAGTCTATGGTTACTTTTTTGGCAGGTTTGTATGGCCCCGTGACCTTTGCTATGTGCGTTATTGGCGCCGAAATGATGATGGAAGTTATGGTAAGTCTTTGCAGATTTACTCATATATTGAAATATATACTTATTTTTCTAGCTTCAGAAAATTTCCCTTTGCTCTTGTTTTGGTTATTGTGCAGTTGTGTTATTTCGTTCTAGAGAGCATGAGAATTGTGGCCCACAACCAGGATACGTGCGGGCTCATGTTGAGAGTAAGTTCCATGTTAATTCCTTGGTTGTGCTGAGATGTGAAAGATGAGTGTTATATTTGGAGTATATTGCAAACTATGTATTCTAATTTTCTCAGGTGGAGGGTTCAACATTTCCCCTCTGAAATCTCGAAATGGGAAGCCTAGAACACAGGTGCAGCATCTCATGCAGATTGATTTAAAAGGATGGGGTGTGGGTTATATTTCATCATTTCAGCAACACTGTCTTCTTCAGATGTTAAATAGTGTTGCTGGTGAGTTTTTTTTCTCCATTTGAATGTTAAAAATTTGCAGTGTTTTTGACATCACATTGAAGGATAGGATGTTTTTTCATGTTTCTGTGGTTCACTTCTTTTTGTTCTCGTTATTTCAATGAACGTAAAGAAAAAGGGAAATATCATCATTTGTTGTGATGCCAGTTTGGTCTGCATTTTGACATCCCACTCTTGTCCTAATAAAAAGATTGAAGAGGATAAAAAGAAAGAATTGTGTGAGGGGATGTTAAGAGAACTTCATTCCTATCATGTTTGTTTCAGGTTCTGTTCATCTACCTTATTGAAAATTATTGTTTACCTCTCACAACAGGATTGCGTGAATGGTTTGCCCAAACAGATGAAAGAGGTGCTCCTCCTAGAATCCCAGTTATGGTCAATATGGCTTCATCTTCAGTTTCCTCAAAGAAGACTCAAAAGATAGATGAGTTATCTGTTCCCCCTGCCCCTTCTCTTGATCAAACAAACTCTGCTAGCAGAAACTCTGTGTTGATGGATGAATACTCTGATGAGGATGAAGAACAAATGCCTGAGGCAGAACAAGAGGTTTTATATTACCATTATCTTTATATATTTTTTGTTTGAATTGTTCCTAACTATGGGTTTCTTATTTCCCTAAAATTTTCAGGCATATCCAACTAAAAGCGACAATGATCTCAAGAGAACAGGTGGGTCCTAATAATGTTATATTGGTTTGTTTTGATGTAACTGGATAAGATTTTTATGGAACTGACTTCTCATCTCAATATACGTTAAAGCCCTGGAAGAAGAACCAATTGAGAAAATTGATTTGTCATGCTTTTCTGGTAATCTACGACGTGATGACCGTGATAATTCTCGTGACTGCTGGAGAATAGCAGATGGTAACAATTTCAGAGTCCGTAGCAAGCATTTTTGTTACAACAAAACAAAGGTTCTCATTCTTGTGCTTGTTTCTTCTAATTAGTTTTTTTACATGCAAATCAATATCTTATGTTGCTTTGTTATCACTCCCCCCCCCCCCCCCTATGCAATGAAGATTCCTGCAGGGAAGCACTTAATGGATCTTGTTGCTGTTGATTGGTTTAAAGACACAAAACGAATGGATCATGTCGTTAGGCGTCAAGGCTGTGCTGCTCAAGTGAGTCTGAGAAGTTACCTTCTTTAATGTTGTTTGCCTCTTTACTGTTCTGCTTCTCTTCAGAAAGGAGTATCTTATTTCCTGAGAAAGCATTTTGTTAGTATCTGCTTGGTATATTAAGTTACTCCCGCTCCATTTGCTATGCATGGTTTCTCTGTTCTGCAATGTCGTTTAAGCATTTATTAGGAATCATGGTGAAGTCAAGGGAGATTTTAATCTGGTTCCATTGAAACTGATTGGTTCACTTATAATTTTTTGAGTTGCATTCCTTGTTGTAGTAACTCCACGACCTTTATGGTTGTTATTCAAATTGGATTCAGGCTATGCATGTGGTATATCAAAACTTTTGTTAGGTCCATTGCTTAGGTTGCAAAATGGAAGTATCAGTCTCATTCCTTTGCCCACCCTATCTGCGTACTAAGACTTAAATCTGGGACCTCAAACTCCCGTAATAGTATTTTGGGAATAGAATCCACAACCTTCAAACATATCCACATTCTTGATTAGACATTTTATCTGACAGATTCTGTACAAGCTAAACAGGTAACTTTTATTTTTATTTTTATGTAAATGAAGTAGGATTAACTTGAACCAGTATTAGTAAATGAGGGAAAAATGGTTGTGTTACTACTATGAACACGCTACCTTTTTCTAGGGGAAAAAGGGTAACGAGTAGGAAATCACATTAAACTTATAAGAGCCATGTTCTGCCTTGACCAAGTTTCTTTGGTTGGTTGCGTTGGATCATAACTGAGGGTTCAACTATCCTTCTCCTAATAGCCTAAGCGTATACTGCTTAAGTAACTTAATTGATGTAGAAAATTTGTTAATTCCTTAATGGAGTATATTTACATGTCTTTGATCGTTGTTGCTTCTGTCTTTGTAGATTGCTTCAGAAAAGGGGCTTTTCTCTTTGGTTTTTAATTTTCAAGTAAGTCTTCATAATGCAGTTAATGTTGTATCTTAGACCGATGGATCAGGAGCTTGAGTGGATTATGTTGTTTTTGTTCCAGGTTCCTGGCTCAACACACTATAGTATGGTATTCTATTTTGTGACAAGGGAATTAGTACCCAGTTCCCTTTTGCATCGATTTGTTGATGGTGACGATGAATTTCGCAATAGTAGGCTGAAGCTTATTCCGTCAGTGCCAAAGGTATATATTTTTCTTGATTTTGTTTGGAGTAATGTTTAAATCAAGTTGTTTAAGACAGTTGGAAGCAGTCTTCATTGTAATTGTGCCTCCATAATTATTGTGGTCTGTTGACTATTGTTTATTAGTCTGCCAAGTCCATATCACACACTTGATGTCATCATATAAACAATCAGTACTTCATTCAGAAAAACTCGTAGTACTTTTTGGACAATAAATTAATGCTGTAAATCCCATTGATTGCCTGTACAGCCTTATTGAATTTGGCAAATGTATATTAATTATTGTTTTTGTTTGGTCTTTAGTTTTGGCCGGGGCAACGTTCTCTTTAGCTGACCAAGCATGTCTTTGGTTTTTAAATTGGTCCAAGGTAGCCTAATTAGTATTGCAAAAATTGCCTTTGCTCTACTATATATGTGAACGTGGGAAATGTTTATGGATTAAATGGTAGGATCCTCTCCAGTGAGGTTAATTTTGCTGAAAAAAGAATGCAAGGATCAGTCCTTGTCTTGATTCTATTTTTCACTTTGCTCCTTTGAAACTTGTTCTTAAATTGATCACATTGAATCTTGCAGGGATCATGGATTGTGCGACAGAGTGTTGGGAGCACCCCTTGTTTGTTAGGAAAAGCAGTTGATTGCAATTATATCCGTGGTCACAAGTACTTAGAAGTAAGGATTATTATGATTTCTTTAATACCTAAATGTAGCATCAATGATCCTTGTGATTAATATGTGTTTACTTGTTCATTTCTTTCTGTAGGTTGATATCGACATAGGTTCTTCTACGGTTGCTAATGGAGTTTTGGGGCTTGTCATTGGTGTAATTACGACATTGGTGGTTGACATGGCTTTCCTTGTGCAGGTACGATTCTTGTAGAACATCAGTTGTCTCAAACTCTTTATATGGGAAAAATACTTGCTTTATTATTGATAGGCATAACATACACTGACTTGCAAGCAAAGAGATTTAGTAGGAAGCGGCATAATCTGAAGCAATCACTGTTGCAATACATATTGTTTTCATTATTAATGGCATGTCAAGGGCAAAGAGTAGATTATAATACTGCATGGGGTATATAGTTTTGTACATAGGCTGTAGTTTTACCTAATATTTAACTACAAGTGCTGTTATCATAGGGCTGTCCAGGTCCATTGCCCACTGCTGGTAGAAATTAGGCATGGGGCATTAAAGTAACATTTGTGATTTACTTGTGTTATATTATATGGTGGCTTAAAAGTGGTTCCATGTTCTCTTTTTTTTCCCCTTAGGCAAATACAACGGATGAGCTGCCAGAGCGGCTAATTGGTGCAGTCCGAGTTTCACATATAGAGCTATCATCTGCCATAGTTCCAAAGCTTGAGGCCGATCCATCATGATTGTTTTGACCACAACTGATTTTATACGAATAATTTGTTCTGATATTCATATTTTCATTTGCATTTTCTCGTCATTTACCATTTAGAGGAAGATCCTTCACTTTTTCCAAATAGGATTTTCAGGAAAAAGTAGTGGAAGGAAAATGAAAATTTTTACTTCGGCAAGCTCGTTAGTTCCATTTCTCTGGCTAGCTATGTGTTAAGGGAAAATAAATCCTATCATGGAAGAAATCAAGAGGGTGAGAAGGATGATGGGGCTTTTATTTTCATCTTTATATGTAATTATATATAAAAAAATCTATAGTAAATGTAGACGCGTTATCATTTTGCGGTATGTCATCTCATGGCAGCATTTCATTGCAAACTTTCTGTTCTTTTGATTTGAGAACTACAAACTAGAGGGTAGAAAATAGAAAATAAAACCAAAGAAAGAGAGAGGACAGAGAATCATTGCAGAAGGTTTAGTCAGGTCTAAGTTTACGTCGAGCATCAAATTCGAGACAAATGGTTGAGTTCCGTTGAAACAGTTATAATCCCTATCGAATACGTGAGAATCATAACCAACTAGGTGCTATGTGATATGACAGCGATAGATTACCTTGGCTTGTTTGGAAATTGGGTATACGAAATGAATGCTTGGTGAATGATGAAATGCTCAATGTTCATAGCCTCTTTTGAAATGTTTTAAGTGTACCCGTGTACAAAGTATAAAAAGCGGACACTGTCAATATTTCGCGAGTTATTGTCTGTTGCGACTGTAAAAAGTTATCAACTTTAAAAATAAATGCAAATGCAAAGGTAATGGTGTTATAACAAAATTTGATCTCGAAGCGAAAGAAAAAGAAAAGAAGCTAATAATGTTGTAATCTTCATAATGTAAGAACATGTCTCTCAGCGTAGTACAATATTCTTCTCAAACTCCCCCAGCAAAAACAAAGGGGAAAATTATAACCCAGACTTTTCTATAACAGAAATCTTTGTGCTCAATCTGTATTTAGGTTAACAATTAAATCCTTGAAAGCATCCAAAGAAGCAGCTGAACTTGCAGGGAAACCATGATGAAGTTTAGTGCTAAGCATCACCGCTTTCCTTGTAATCTCTTCATTTCCCATTATCTTCTCAACCCCATTGACTATATCATCCTTCTTGATCTTCTGTTGGGATAGATTGTCAGAAATCATGCACCCCACTTTAAGATGATTCACCACCAATTTGGCATTGTAGTGCTGGTCACCCCTAATAGGCCATGCCAATAATGGCACCCCACGTCCGATTGCTTCCACCGTAGAATTCCACCCACAATGTGATAAAAACCCGCCCGTTGATGGATGACTTAATATCAACAACTGAGGTGCCCATCCGTGTATTATCAGACCTCTTTTACCAACCTTTTGGTCCAAACCATGAGGGAAGTAACTCTCTTCTTCGAAGGATACATCACTGGAACCAGGTTGGTTTCCTAAGAACTGAGGTGGGCCAGGTGGAGGACCTGGTTTGCCTGATCCATGTTGGATTACCCAAATAAATGGCCTGTTTGATGCTTCTAATGCATCAGCCAATTGCTCGAATTCTTGTTTTGTGGGAGCAACTTCAGTGCCAAAAGATACGTATATCACTGATCCATGTGGCTTTGAATCTAACCATTCTATCACTTCATCTTCCGTTACGCTAGACTGTTTGTTGGCTCGGATTTCACGATCGTGAAGCAACGAATCGGATGATTTCCAAAACTGTTGGGGCAATAGTGGGCCAACACCCCATACTGGTTTACCAATTTGGATCCCTAAATAATCAAGAAATGGACCCTCCAGATCAGTGCAACTATTGAGCATCAACGCAATAGAGTTCTTGGCAGCTTCTACCCAGGGTGGCTGTCCACCTGGTTGTGGAGGACCCATTTTCCGATGTCCAGGCCCACCTGGAGGCCCATGGGAGAAGCCATGCCTTAGTGGTGGCTGTCCCGGTGGCCCACCTGGAAAGCCGAAGGCCCCAAGCCCAGGAGGTGGTGGTCCTGGTGGCCTACTTGAAAAGCCGAAGGCCCCAAGCCCAGGAGGGGGTGGTCCAGGTGGTGGGCCATGTTTAAGATCGGAATCTGTCAAAGCCATTTCTTCCGGTAACCCAGGAAGCGAACGGGTCTCTCCAGGTTTGATATCCATCACGCGAGCCTTCCACATGGCGTACTCGAGAGCTGCAGAGCACGCACCCGAGGTGAAAAACCCGATTGTTGGGATCTTAAATTTCTTGAAAACATTTCCTGTCCAATCCATCATTACATCTATTACTGCACAAGCAGGTTGTGCGGAGTTCTGCAGCAGCCTTTCGATCCCTTGAGCTAAATCAGAGTGGTGGTCATGGGGATGGTTGGGAGGATTTGAACTGGGCTCTGGTGGAGTTAGTGGCGAAGAGGGTATTTGGGCAACTTCAATGAGAGGATGCTCCTGGAAAGATGAGGGTATAGAAGAAGAGAGATTAGAGGGAATGATGAAAGTCGTTTTGAAATTTCTTGAGGCAATGTGCTTGCATAGTTCCATTAATGGGAAGAGATGGCCTTGCCCAAAGAATGGAACTACCCATATCTGGATTTCACTCGACATCTCTGTTGCAATTCTATCGCTTGGTGATTTAATTCGGTCTATAAGGCACTACACGAGTATATGGTTGTTTCACACAATTTATAGAGCAGGAAAGTAGGATGATAAAGACTTAAAGGTTAAGGTTTTGACTGGTAGGTTGGACATTTTGTTGTGAGAAGTGGTCAAAGTTCAATAGATATAATAATAAGACGACAACTGAAGATGGATAATCTGGAGCATTCTGTGATCCGACATTTGTTTATCGATGAAAATTTAAAGGGTGAGATGTCAATAGATTAGTTATGGTTATATCCAATGTGGGGCAGAACTTTCAGGGTGCTTTCATACAGGATTTTTAACATCAATTAATTTCTCCATGGATCAGAAGGCGAGGTCGGTGCAACTTGTAGAGTTACACGTTCGATTTAATTACTTCACCGCGTTCAAATTGTTTGTTTGCATTGTTAAGGAATCGTATGGTCGGCAAGCTAAAAATTGTTCGCGTTAAGGGAGATTTATGCCACTTCTACATACATGCTACTTCCCTTTGTATAATTGAGAAATAAGAAATGCATTTTTAATTATATATGATAATTTATATTATCATATTATATAAAATATTATATTTATATTATATTTTATATAAAAATTATATATTATAATTTATAATGATAAAAATATAAAATATAATTTTTTAATTTTATTTAATTTATTTATAATTTTTTTAAAATATTAAATTATATTATTTTTATATTTTTATTTTATTATTATAATATCGTATCATTATATCATATTTTAAATTATCAATTTTACTCTTAAAGTCATAACGACAAATTAAAGTTATATTATATAATAATCTTGTACTTTAAGCCATTCTTTATTAATTCGACTGGTTGAAATAGATAAAATTTGCCTTTTAGGCAAGAATTATACCTTCAAAGCCAATGGCAACTTGATTTATGGTGCTACTCAGATTACATAAATTTGATTGCACTTCAATCAAGTATAATACTAATTCGATGATAATTCAAAACTCTATAATCAACCACCACCATGATAAACCAAAAGATTGCTCACATACCCCATTTTTAAGCTTGATCATAATTAAGCTGCTTTTTGGTTAACAAAGTCCTTAAAATCATCCAACGCAGCCTCTGAACTAGCCGGAAAACCATGGCTAAACTTTTCCCTCAATGCAAACACTCGGTTACCCATTTCTTCATCTCCCATGAGCTTCTCAATTCCCTTGATTATATCATCCTTCTTGACCATCTCTGATAGATCATCTGTCACCTTATAACCCACCTTAAGTCGCAGCTTGGCGTTATAGTATTGGTCTCCCTTTATGGGCCACGCCAAAATCCGGACCCCACGTCCTATTGCTTCCATCGTTGAATTCCAACCGCAATGAGATAAAAATCCACCCGTTGAATCATGGCTCAGTATCACTAATTGTGGTGCCCATCCGCGTATGATCAGACCTCTGTCACCGATTTTACTATCCAACAACCCGTTTGGGTTATAACCTGACCCGGATTGTATGAACCCAATAAACGGTCGGCTGGATTCCTCTAATGCGCTGGCTAACTGGGCATGCTCATCCAAATTGGGACCCACTTGGCTACCAAATGCAACAAATAAAACTGATCCACGTGGCTTATTGTCCAACCTTTGGATTACTTCATCTTCGCTTACATTCATTCGGCGATTATGCTCCCCGATGATGGCAGCACCGCCACAGGTCAGGGAGTTCCAGTACTTCGCTGGTAAGAGAGGACCCACTCCAAAAACTGGCACACGGATGTGATCAGCCATGTAGTTAAGAAACGGACGTTCCAGATCATCACAAGTGTTGAACATCAAAGCTATTGATCCCTCAATAGCAGTTTCCCACGGCGGCTTGTCGCCCGGTTTTGGAGGACCTCGTCCCCCTTGATGACCGCCGCGTGGCGATCCTAATGGTGCTCTTTTAAGATCCGAGTATGTGAGACCCATTTCTTCGGGCAACCCGGGGATTAAACGGGTCTCGTTGGGCCTGATATGTCCCGCTTTGGCCTTCCAGGCACCCCACTCCATGGCTGCAGCATACGCACCGAAGGTGAACAGCCCAATCACTGGGATGTTAAATTTCCAGAAATGGGCCTTTGTCCAGCCCATTTGAAAATCAACAATAGCGCATACAGGCGGGGGTAAGTTTGGGATTTTGCACCAGTTTTCCAGGTGGGCCTCGAGGTCCTGGGCCGCTTGCTGCTGTAGTGGGTCGGATCCGGTCATCGTGGGAGCTGGTGAGGCGATAGGAGTGGTTTTGTGGAAGCGATGGAAGCGGAGAGAGAAGAGGGAATGATAAGGGTAGTTTTGTAGTTTCGAGAGGAGAGGTGGTTGCAGAGCTGCATGCAAGGGTGGAGGTGGCCCTGGCCAGGCCCTGCAACAACCAGTATTTCAGCAGCCATTTTTGGATTTTGGTCTCTTATCGTTTAAGGGAATGGAGTAGTTTGTGCAGAAGAAGGAAGAGAGAAGTGGGTAACTTACTAGTGAGTTTCTGAATGATTGATGATTATTAATCACTAGTAGGGAAGTTAGAGGAGGCTACTGTTATTTGCCAAAATGATTTAGTTAGGATATTTCACTTTCATATTCACATCATGCCATAGCGGATAGATCTGTGTAGTAATGGAGACTGGTTGTATGCCACATGGTATATTTACGGAATCTCAAGCAGCAGATGAAAATTCTATTACTGACAATAGGTGGCATCAAGAAACTATCATTTGAAAGCTAAATGATTGAAACAATTATTATGAAGATCAAAATTGAATTCAACATAAGCAAGAACAATGTAAGGTTCACCAAGGATACACCCAGATCTGATACGGTCGAGTTTTCTATTGAATATAAATCAGTTTGCTGGCCGTATTCATTACAGCTTCCTTGTAAAGCTCTTCCACCACGATCATTTCTGCATAATAGATATAGCAGACATAAGCCTCATGGAGTACGCATCAACAAGAACACATGATGTTTGAAACTACCATTGACGTTAAAACATGGATAGCCAACTAGGAACAGTTAATCAACAAGGTTTACTCGGTCTGCCATTTTCAGTTTCTCTCCAAACCAAAATCCTCAAAGGAGATGGTTTTGTTAGATAATTCACTGTTTGAATTCGACTGTTTAATTAAATTATAATCTATTAGCCGATTATTTAATAGTATAATAAAAATTCTTTAATTAATTATATAAATATAATATTCGATTATAAAAATAATTTTAAAAAAATTGATAAAAGATTTAATATATTTAATTTAAGTAGTTTTCATGGCGTGAAGATGAATTAATACAAGAAAGACATACAACTGATTACGGTATTGGTATTAGCACCACAAATTGATCACAAAAAGAAAAGTAAAAAATAATTATGGATTAATTAGACCGGAACTTGATTCTTGAGGCCAAAAAGAATTCTCAAGTCTCAACTCATACCCTGGTCTGCCACTGTACAGGAGACGGATTGGTTGTTTTTCCACTTTGGTTTTGACAGTCCCGTTTTCACAGCAACAAAAACAAAGGGGCGTGGTAGACTCCCTATATGTACAGCCCTGATTATTATCCTTCAAATAGGAAAGAATCAAACAAAAGAGTGAAGATGGCGAAGAGTAAGGTTCTTGTGGTGGGGGGAACTGGGTATATTGGGCGGAGGATTGTAAAGGCAAGCTTAGCTCAGGGACATGAAACCTATGTCCTTCAACGCGAGGAGATTGGGCTTGACATTGAAAAGCTGCAGATGTTACTGTCATTCAAGAAGCAAGGTGCTCATCTAATTGAGGGCTCGTTTAATGATCATAAAAGCTTGGTAGCAGCTGTTAAGCAAGTTGATGTTGTTATTTGTACCATTTCTGGTGTGCACTTTCGCAGTCACAACCTTTTGTTGCAGATCAAGCTTGTGGACGCCATCAAAGAAGCTGGGAATGTTAAGGTATTATTATCTATATTTGCAATTTCATCAACGAGGACTATTAAGGTTTCATTCTTAAACTATTTAAATATTCTTAGATCATTAATTTTCCTCTACTGATTAGGAATATATTTGAAGAAACGTGAACATCAGGAGTAGTAATATTTTGGTTTTGGCAATTGTAATTATAATTATTAATTTGAATTAAGCAACAAACATATATATTGTAGCGTTTCTTGCCTTCAGAGTTTGGTATGGATCCATCACGAATGGGACATGCACTTGAACCTGGAAGAGTGTCATTTGATGAAAAAATGGTTGTGAGAAAGGCAATTGAGGATGCAAACATCCCCTTCACCTATGTGGTTGCCAACTGCTTTGCTGGTTACTTTGTTGGCAATCTTTCACAGCTTGGAAGCCTCACTCCCCCTAAAGACAAAGTTCATCTCTATGGCGACGGAAATGTAAAAGGTACATTTAAGCAAGATACTAATAATTCAGGTTTATTAATGATGCTGACTGACGATTATACCTAATTAATTTGTTGATGATCATGCAGCGGTTTTTATGGAGGAAGATGATGTTGCAACATACACAATTAAAACAATAGATGATCCCATAACATTGAACAAAACTTTGTACATAAGGCCTCCAGACAACATTCTTACGCAATCACAGCTAATCCAGATATGGGAGAAGCTTACTGGGAAGAAACTAGACAAAATTATAAGCATTTCTGCACAAGATTTTCTAGCCTCCATGGAAGGTACTATATGAAATCTTCTGAGAAAAAACTTGTTTGACAACATTGATTAGATAAATTGTACATTAATTTTCAATAATATATGATCAATGTTTCTTCAATTAATTAATTGATTAATCATCATATATGTAAATTAGATTGTATGATGGTGTTGCGCAGGAATGGACCTTGCATGGCAGGTAGCTGTGGGCCATTTCTATCACATTTTCTACGAGGGTTGCTTGACAAACTTTGAAATAGGGGAAGAAGATGAAGAAGCTTCAAAGCTTTACACCGAGGTTGAGTACACTCGCATGGATGAATACTTGAAAATTTATACCTAATAAATATTTATGTAACTTGAAGGCTTTCACCTGTAGCAAACGAAATAAGGTTATCAAAGTATTTAATTACCCATGGACATACTGAGATTGATCTCTAATATAAATTTAGTACTCTCTCAACAAATCATCAGAGTATTGTTTAGCAAACGATATGGGCCTGATTAATTAGTTTGTTTTAGATATGTTGACAATAGATAAAACCGAAATGCAAGCAGATATTGTAATGAATTCATAACTAAACCCGATATCTATTTTTTTAATTTCATTTCATAGACGAAAACATGTGTGATTAAAGCTGGTTTCCATTTACAGCAACAAACTGATGGCTATCTTTGATGCTTAGGTCAAAATTTATGGAATCTCCTTCAACTTTAAGCTTAACATCTCTTAGTTTTCTCTTTCTCCCACTCCATAATTTTGGAAAGCAGAACAGTTGGTCTTCTTGAAAACGTCATTTATCTGTACCACGTTTGATTTCCTGTCTGCTTCATTCACATTCTCCAGGAGATTCGACAGAGCCAAGTTGAAGTTTGTTAATTGTGCTCTTGCTTCTTCTATATTCCCTTCGCAGTTGATATCAAACGACAGGCTCTTTTGGGCTTTCTCTAATAGTGTTTGCAAGTACTTCCCTTCGGCCTCTATCCTCATCTGCAATTTCTTCTGTACCTACGGTTACAAAGACAATTCAACAACAGCCAATAGAAATTACAAGCTTGAACAAGCAAATTCACTTGATACCATAACGTAGTAATGTAAAAGAATGAGAACTTATATGTCCTCAAAAGGGATTATTAACCTCATGTTGCTCGTGCAATGTCTTTTGTACTTCCAGCTGAGTCTTCAGTGCCTCTGCCATTGGGATTTGTCTGTTTCATTGCACATTCATTATCACTTAGGAATTAGGATGGAACCATTTGACAGACCCAAAAAGCAATCTGAAAAGAAACTATCCTTACTAGATTCTCAATTTGTAGCTCCTATAAAGTTTGATAGGCAAATTAAATGCTCACGATGAGATTCTGGTAAGAAAACAGAAATGACGAAACAGCACGTACCTTTGTTCATTGTCAGCTCCTGGTGAATTGGTGATTGTCCCTGAAGCATGATTGCTAAACTGTACGTAGGAACTCCCTAGATAAGGAATTGAAACCAATCAGCATTAGAAGTACTAATAGTTGATTTAATCCTATATTTGCAGTGGAAAAATCATTGTAAATTAATAGAATTTGATATCAAAGTAATACTAATAGACAAACTTACCACCATTCTCTTTGTTTTGGTCTACTGCATTTTGCTTCCTTGCCTGCAGTCCTAGTCTGTATTTCTACAACAAAATTAAGCAGGAATTACACCAGTGCAATGTTTCAAAATAATTGAATCAATAATGTTCATGTCCTATATACCTGTAAATGGCTCTTCAAATGGTACAGTGTCAAGCCCTTCAATCCCATTAACCTTAGGACAGACTTTGGAGTTGCTTCTAAAAGTGAAATTTCTCAATAATATTAGACCATACTGTAAACTATGCCAAAGGGATATTTCAAATTCAATATGCTTATAGCGTTACATTAAGAATAAAAGTTGACTAATCAATGGACTTTTTAAAGTTAATTATGAAAACAGAACACATGGATGCCATTAGAATTTCACAATTATTTGATAAAAAAGAAAAACTCCATTAATTCAGAGAATTCTTTCTGATCTTCATGAACAAATTATTTGCAGCAAATTAGCCTAGGATTTGTTTGGATGTAAATATGTTCTCAAACACCAATTACAGAGATAAAAAGATACATTAATGTAGGCTATGCCCCTGTCCAAACTACTTAATATATACTTTGCTAATTTTACTTGGAACTTGTAAGTGATAGAAAAAAAAGCAAGATTAACTGCTTTGAAATATGGTACTTAGTTCCTCTATGGATTATACTTGACAAAAACTACAATAAGTTTCTTGCAGTTACAATTTTATCACTATGATTTGAGGAATTATGGTAGTAATTATCTCATGAATGCTTAATTCATATGACATTGTCATAACCAGCTTCTTCTTGTGTCATGAAAATTCAAGAATTTTGCTATATTTAGAACATAATTTATCATATATATATATATATATATAGTGGCAGTTCAAAAAAGAAAGATATCTAATAGTAAAAATTCTGGTTTTGCACAAAAAGAAGAAACAGGGTAAGGAGGCAGAGAAGACTAACTGTCAGGGCCACCAAGTTTAGTTACGGCATCGACGAACCGGTCATGAAGATCAGCCGTCCATCTCAGCCTGGGCCTCGGGTCTCTCGTCATCACCACCCCATTTTCGTACCCATAGTTCCCTTCTCCTCCACGGCCACCCCCATAGCATAATCTCTCCATCTCATGAAACAAAACCAGCTCAATTTTCTCTTTAAACTGAAATTGGATTGAATCAAATTCAGTTGAATTTCCAATACCTCCTTAAATCTAAAGCCAAAAATGTCAAACAGAACTGAATTAAGAATAAGAATGTTAACTGAAATCAACCCTTTTGCTGTTTCAACTTCATATATGTTAGCAGAGTTTTTTTTTTTAATTTTATTTATTTAATGAGAAACAGACATAATTTTTATATTTAAACGAGAACATGCAGAGGAAAGCTCGGCGACGAATCTTAAGCAAACAAACACGGCTGCAATCATAAGAAAACAAACGCAACAGAGTAATTTTTTTCTTCTTCTCCCATGTACGTCTTCATCAGGCGTTCCATCGTTTGATTTTCTAGTATGATGATCCAACGGTGATTTGAGAGAACAAAGAAGCAGCTCCAACCTGGATGGAGATGTAGCTGATCGGAATAAAGGGTTTGTGGCGGTGCCACGTAAATGCCAGCGTGGAATATTCGCCGGCGAACTAGAGTAGAATATTCCAACGATCACGTGGCGGGCCCTCAAGGGCGGACGTAAGGGTCATTTCAAGTTGAATCGGCGGTCATCCACATGAATAATGGTCGGGCAAAATGGACACGTTTCGAGCTATCCTTCAGGAACGGGGAGTTCGAAGTAACATCCAAATATTCGCTTCGGTTCGACCCGAACAAGGAGATCCAAAGCCCATGAAAAAAGCTGTCCGAAGAATCCATCCCCTTTTGGCCCTATCCATTTTTTTGGATGAAGATTTGCTTATTATTCTTTCAGAAGAATCAGAACTCAAAATAATAAAAAAAAATTATTTCTCATTTCCTGACAACATTTTCTTAACAATTGATACAAGCTTCAACATTTCTCGATTTCCTTATATTCAGTTAAACAGATTTTCTGAGATCATTATATTTGAGATTTTACAGGGGAGCCTGCAAGCTTGCGAGTTGCTCACATGAAGGATACAAGCCTTGCAAGAAAATTTTATGTCAGTGACATAAATAATGAATGGAAGGGAAGCATAAAAATATGAATTCAATTAGTGTTCTGTGAGAATGATTTCGCTAACTGAAGATTGGTGGAAAGAGAAAACTTAGGAGAGAGGGTCATCAGTGGTTCATTCCCGCTCTGTTTTTGAACCGCCATGCCCATTGCATATCCCAGGGCTCGAGCAACAGGAACAGCAACAGCATTCCCAATTTGACAATACCTAAATATATCAGAAAGAGGGTTTATTGATGTGAAAGACTGGCTTAAAATACTGCATTTTTCAATAAGCAGAGAGATATCACATTTTAGATTGCGCTAGTGACCAAGCATACATCTTTTTCTCTGTTCAACGTGCTATTTAAGTGTTACAGCTGATAAAAGAGCTATTTCTTCAGATTTGAGCAAATTAAAAAGCCTACACTGGGAAAAAGGCAGAGGAGAGAATATCAGCCCTAAACTAGACTCTCAAATAAATAATATTTAGAACAAAATTATCATACCTCTCTTTAATTGTCCCGCAGAATCTATAATAATCAGGAAAACCTTGCAGCCTTGCATATTCTCGTATTGTGAGAACTCGATCCTGCTCTGGATGTAATGCTGCCTACACAAGTCCAGAAACTCACAAGCAAATCCAAGGACTGACAAATGGGTAATCATTTATTTTTTAAAGTAATCTTAAAAGCTAAACTAGTATCAAGTGAAACCTGGCTGTGACAATAAGGGTAAGTTACTACAGTTGGCACTGTCTCATCCCACCATAATCTTGCAAACGGTCTGCACATATATTGATAACATTAATTTCGTCTTTTTTTTTCCTCTTTTTGTTTTGGAGGGGGAGGGTCGTTGAAATCAGATAAAAAAATATCTAACCTTTTAGATTTTCCTTGCTCAAACGTAAAGACGTAATCCGGTACCTAAAAGCACATGAAAGAGAATTAACATCAGCAATTAGTTTTGCCATTTAGACATACTGATTCATGGCGTGGAAAACCTACTTTGTCATTTCCTCCCTTTCTGCACTAGAATCATTTTCATCCTTTGCTATTAAAGAGATATAACCTAGATCCAGTTGCTGGTTCGTAAAGTTTGAAGAGGAAAATGAAAGAAAAAGAAAATCCATGGAAGAAAATGCCCCACATGTTGAAATGCAGTTGCAATATGCAGCAATTTTCAGCTTTCCTTTATACAGCACACTTAAAGAACACAGAAAAACAGCCATCCAGGCACAAGCCTAAACAAGCATCTGAGTGCATATCCAATACCGACATGAACACAGATGAAATGTAAGCACTGCTGCTCTGGTGGAAAATGAAGAAACTCACCAACGGTTTTCCAGATGGTAACAGCTGCTTTTCCTGTGTTGGATCCCTCCGAGCCACATTGTCTTTTCCAACAATTATACCAGGGAGGTCCCGGAAATTTGCTCCCTAAAGAAACTTCTAAATTAGAAATAACAGAGGGGCCAAAAAGTGGCAGTGTAAATTGGAGTTGAATTGTATAAAACCTTTCTCTTAGGAATTAGACAAACTCTTGTATAATCATCCTCAGTTAATGGGGAAGGCCGATGGTCATACAGTGGGTTCAATATTCTTGTAGCACCATTTAATGCAAAACCAGTCATCTCTGCAGAGCCAGGAAAAGGGACAAAGGTAAATGAAAGGCAAAATTAGAGGAAATGAATATGCTTGGCCTTATGCTCCTTCTCTTCTGTGTTACTCGTATACAACAAATGGAGGATATAACTAATACTCTTTGGTTTACCCAGACGCAAACAGGAAAAACAGGAGCAATTTTTTTCTCCAAAGAAACAGTGCTGGTTTACTAGATATGCTGCATATGCTCAACTCTGAGGCCATGCTTACTTTAATTAGCATGCTGACCAACTCAATGCTGCATCATGACTTTGCATGTGAGAAGCATTCCACATTCTAGGCACAAGATCCATGATGCATGCTTGTACATAATTTTTCATCCTGAGACTTCACTTCTGAAAATATTCAAATATTTTACCGCAAATGTTTTGTCCCATCTACAAATTGTGTGCAGGTTGTCAAGAAGTTGAAATTAACTGGCATACTTACTAAAACCTCTACATTACCAGACACCAGACATGAGACTGTACACAAGCAGCAAAGGTTTACTCACTTCTACTTTCTAATCAAATTTTCCTCCATACTTTTGCAGCTTCCTCATATTTTACAATTATAGAAACTTGTTTTGAAATGATTATTGGTCAAAAAATATGCTTAATGAACTCCCACATCCCAATGACCCCTGATCTTTCCCAAGTCCATAATATGCTTGTTCTGTACAGTGCTTCATGACAAAGTTGAGATTTGGTCAGAAAGTAGCTGGTCATTCCTGATTATAGCCCACCAAGAGATGTAAAAGGTCCTTGTTTCATGGCTGAAAATATGAACTTTTATTTTCATCTGTAACAAGCAAAGACTGCAACTTAATGGCCGCCAATTGTTGATACTCCAACATCCAATTACCGTGCCTAGCAGGTTAGGCACCCTCTTTATATTTCCGCATACACAAACAAGAAACACCTAAGTACCTGTGTCAGGTACTTACACCTATTCTGAGATGTTCTAGAATTTCATGATAAGCATCCTGGCCATAAATCTTTCATTTTGTTCCAATAGAAATGGATCAGAATTATTCCAATAAAAAGACAAAATCTATAATACCCCAGATTTTTTGCATAACCACATTTGTTGGAAGCTTCATAATAGACACTAACCCTCAGATGCAGAAGTAAAGGCCCAAATCAGTTATGTTAGTGATAAATGATTTACATCCAGAGACTTTTTGTTTTTTTAAAGAAAAATAAACATTTATTGATCTACAACTGCAACATAAGAGAGATCGGAAGGCATAAAATCTATTAAGAATTCAACAAATGGCCCATTATTTTGACATTAGAGAACATCCACTAAACACTCAGATATATAGAGGGAAAATTAAAGCCAGTTATAGGACAAGAAATTTAATCATTGAAATATGAGATGATCCTAGGGTAAAAGGAAACAAAATTACCATATTCACTTGATCTTATATATCTTTGAAAATCAGTCTCAGGAGGCTTTCCATAAGTCATTTCTTCACGAGCTTCATTATTTGTCACCTATAAAGCAGTTAATTAATTGAAAGGAACAGAGCACAGCTGAATCTATGAAGTGGTTCAATCAGTAAAATAAAATATGATAACTACAGCTGGGAGATCAGATATGGCATCACTGAGAACAAGTGCATCCTCCAGTTCACGGGGTTGGTCTTCATCATAAGCAACCGTATTACGCTGCACAATGTAGACAAATAGAATTATATGGATGGAGTGTCGCTGGTTAAAGCATTTTAGGGGAATTAAAAAAGAAATAATAATAGCAACCTCAAACTCAGGAGGAGGCCAATATCTGATAATAACATCATGAGTAGGAAGTGGAAACTGTGGTAGTTTCTGCACACACCAAATAACCACAAAACCCCCCACCCAAAAGAACAAAAAAAAAAAAAAGTAAACAAAGAGCAGTTATATGGTCAGCAAGAGATCATAGAAGACCAAAATCATTAACTTTACATGTGATAGCACTACTTTTTTGTCAGAGAGAGTCAAGGAAAACAGCAATTCAATTTAATACAAAAAAAAACTCACTTCACCAGGATGTGCTCCCCACAAAAAAACACGCAACCGAAATTGAGGAAGACCATAACAACCAGCTGCAATTATTCCAAGCCTTGATTGGTATTTCATGTGAACCAACCGACTTAAAGCATATCTTCCAAGCGAAGCCTTGTCAAATCTCAGGATATCAACCACATTTTCCATTAAAACAAACTTAGGTTTTAAGTATTCCACTATGTCCATGAAGACCACTATTTGACGATTTCTTTCATCATCCAGTGGGGAATCAACATTTCTATAGCGATTATAGCCACTTATTCCTTGGCATGGAGGGCCACCACAAATAATATCGACATCACCCTGATTAAGTTAATTCATTAAAGAGGAGTCGTCTTAAAAATTATCCCATCTAGGGAAGATACCCCAAATTAAGCATCCACCTAGCATTTGATTAAAGAAAAACTTACACGAAGTGGTAAGATTTTGGACTTGAATCCTTTTCTTACAAAATCCTGTATACATTCTTGACAATTGCTGAGAGATTTGAACAAGTAAGTAAACATTTCCTTGAATCAAGAATGAAACAGTGATAGCAATTAGTATACCTTAAGCCTTCAATTGGTTCCCATGTATCTTCACTTGCACTATAACCCTTCCAACGAACCTAACAAAATAGCTATGAGTATAAGTCATCTCCACCTAACTATGACATGAAACAAAAACCAATGACTATGAATAACAGTAGAATAGGTTGACACAAACAAAGATCAATTAGATTACAACGCACACACACACTCACAAAAGGCTTGAAATGAACTGACATCACATTGCATTGATGATATAGACATCTTATGATGCACCTTAAAGTTTAGACCACGGTTGCCTGTGTTGCAGGGATCGCCATAACAAATATCAACAAGACTGGAAACTTCAAATTCACCAGGGGGAGTATCAGCATCTTTTGGAGAATTGGCATCATTCCACACTGCTTGGGAATCTGTGGATCTTGATGGATATCTTTCTACATTGTCAACTGCATATCGTTTGCAAAGCTTTTTCCATTCCTTCAATAGTAGAAGAAAATCATCAGCAGCTTCATTCCTGACCTATATAAATGAAAAACAAATAATAGTATTATATATCTCTAAAGGTTTTGGGGCTTGCCAAATGTAAGTTGTAAAATATAAGGCAACTGTACTCACATGTGTCTCTGGATGATTTAATTTCAAGCTTTTACATGCCGACTTATCATTGTCAATGGCCCATTTCTAAAATGCAGAATGTAAGATACATAATATGAGAAGTTTATTGTTGAATGAATCATGAATTATGACTATATGACATTATTAATGATTGAATGAAAGTACCGTTACTAGATCAATGCAAGTTGCTTTGGCACCGAGGCATAATCCAGTTGACATTCCACCACAACCAGCATAAAGATCCAGCAGTGCGAGTTCTGCTTTGTAAGTTCCCAAACTAGGAATATTTTCTGAAAAGGCTGTTGGAGTTGTAGGCAAAATCTCCTTACAGCAGTTTGATGAACTGTAGCTCTTGAAAGAATCATCTGAACCAATATATATATATATATATATATATATATATATAAAGACGGATATATTAGCACTATGATCATCATTTATCAAGATATTTACCACTGTACTTATTGGGTTATGGTTCCACTGATCACCATCCCTCTCTTTCTCTCTCAGGCAACAGAAATAGAGTTAATATAGCAGGTAAACCCCATTACTGATTTAAAAGAAAAAAAAAAAAGGCTTACCGGTTGGCAAGGTGCGGAATGTTGAATACTCCACGCAATACTCCATGTCAAAATAGAAATCAGATTGGGGGATAGAATTTGATTTTAAGCCTAACTGCAACAAGTTATAAAAGATTAATAAATAAAATAAGTCCAACAATACTAACAAATATAGTTGTGAGATTGATAAAATAAAAGCAGGCAAAAAGTAAAGAAGAATTGAAAAAGCCATTCATAAAAAATTAGAATAGTTAAAAAGCAAAAAATGACAGTAAAATAAGATCACAAGAAGCATACCTTAGGTGATATTTGTGTAACAGTAACTTTTGAAATAATGCATTCCATGGGATTATCATTCATTACAGTCGAATAGAATAGACGTCTTTCGTCATGGAAAGAAGTCTCTTGTTTCATAACCTTTGAATGAAACACAAAAGAGAAGCAACAAATATCAGGATAACAAATATTGCATGACCTAAAATAGTTCTTAATTTCTGTACTCACTGTATCTTCAGCTCTATAAAACCATTGGACTCTAAAATAGTTTTCTCCATCTGTTGTTTTAAAAAATTCTAATATCCTTCCAATGTGGTGTTTTGCTTCTTCACCCTGCAAAATTCCTTTATACCGTGAGAATTTGCTTGTTTCAATGGCCAGATTATTAAAAATTAGAAGTGGCATAGGCAGACAAGCAAAGAAGGATTTGAAGATAGACTGCATAAACTTGATTTGCCTGACATGAAATAAGAGAAGCTAAAAGCATATACACAACAATTCAAAGAACACTACGGGTGTGCATTTACTTTAATATATACACAATCCCCAAGGTTTATGGCACATCCATCAACTTCAGCTTGAACATAATGGCATTCCACATTCCAAACAATCTTGTCTTCATCATCATCACTGTCACAATAGGAACAGTGGTTTGAATCAAAAGAAAGAATTATAAAAAAAGAAAAGAGTAAGTTAATAGAAAATTACACAAAAATGGTAAATCAAGATAAAAAAAAGTACTAAACAGGGGGAGCTCATAAATGGGTACTTACTCCAATGGGATGCTTTTACTCTTAGATTTTATATTCTGCAAAGTAAAAGATATTCACAATGAGTACTGAAATAACTAGACCACAAAGTGGGCTCATTTGACTTTTATTTCCAGGTTATCCCTGAACCATGCTCTGTGAAACTAACAGATTATTAAGATATAGCTGCAAACCACATACACTGATAGACCAGAGTAGCAAAAGCTAGACGTACAGTTACTAACCTTTGCTGCTATGTAAATTAAAAAAAGTTAACCTGTATAATGACTGCCAATGAATGTTGAAACTTGAAAGCAAAGCCAAATTAATTTTAAAACATGCCAAAGTATCAAATTCTCAAAAATATAACTAAACCAATCAAGTTTCCAATCAAATTATATTTTGATTGATTGAGGAGACTGAGGTAATCTAAATTAGTGATAAGATTTTCAGCTTTGATTCTGCATGCCTATTCTCTTTTCCTGTCCAAATTTTATTTGACTTCTCTCAACATTGCTTGATACCCCTTTAGTTTTTAGTTAACCTCAGCAACCAAGAAACAACTGAAAAATAAAGCGGATATCAAGCAACATTAATGTAGAGGAAAAGAAAACAAATATGCAAAACAAAGCACAAATTTATGGTCACTACTTTAGTCAGCCCAATGAATCAAAAAAATAACAACGGTCAGTTTAGATCAAAGAACAAAGGGGAGACAGAAGCAGACATATCAAGAAAGAATTATGCAATCACCTTCATTTCATATCGCCAATGCCACCTTTCTTGAGCTTCATCATCAGGGATTGGACTGCCGACAAATATGGGATCACTCCTGTGTTTAGTCTGTTTCTTTTTTAAAAGAGACGAGTCCTTGATCTTCTTTGAGAACTTTTCATCTGACATTCTCATATCTGAATCTACTGATGAGACCTTAAATTTCTTGAAAGGATGTTCATCCCATGAATTGGATGATCCAATGAAAGAAGAGTTTACTTCAGCTCTACCGACTCCATCCAATGATGTAGGACATGAGAAAGGTAGTTTCAACTGCTTTTCATCACACATTTCCCTTCTATGTTCTCTGAATGATACATCACTATCACCATTTTCAGTTGCCTGCATGAAACTAGGAGACATTCCCAACAGCTTTTCTCCTGAAAAGCCAATTTCCTGTGTATCCAATCTCCTAATAGAGACATTAATGCAACCATTTTTAGTAGCCCGACCAATTTTCATAGATTTTCTTAACTGCTTTTCAATGGAAAGCCTTGAGTTATGAACTTCAAATTTTCTGATAGATTCGTTACCGCTCCAATTGTCAGTCTCCCTAACAAATCTCGGAGACTTTCTCCTCTGCTTTTCATCAGAAAAGTTAGGGTCATTATGCATTGAAGGAACAGATCCTTTACCCGCATCCTCGGGCCATGAGAGATATAATAGCTCGTCAATCAACTTTCCTGAAGATCTTGTTTCAGAGTAAGAAACTTTTTCAGGGGATTTGAACTTAGTTTTTGAAGAATCGGCTTTGGTTTCGGTTGAGGCTGAAGTCAATCTAGGAGATCTCCTCAAAACTTTTACATTCATAACTTTTGCTTTTTTATTTTCACTGTAGCAAAAGAAAATCAGCATGCAAAATTCTATTAAGAATGACAGGCCAAAAAAAAAAAAAACTAAGGTGAGGAACACACAATGCAGAGCAAGATTGACCATGCCTGTAATGAATTAGTGAAAGAAATTAGCAATTGCTACTCACATTAACTTGAAGCTTCCACTTTTGGAGCTTTGACTCTGCAAAACGCAAGAATCCAGACAAAAGAAATAGATAAGTTACTTACCATTAAACAAGTCTTCATCTTTCAGTTGTAAAACAATTGAAAACCCCAGATGAAACATAGCAGCAGATTATCAAAGTCATTTATTTAGAAGGATTCAGAAGCCACAAAGTTAGCTAAATTAGACCCATATTTACATGTATTCTATTTTCTACGTTGACCCAAACACAACAACTCTCTCAGACCCATAAAAAAAAAAAAAAAAAAAAAAAAACAGCAACCCTCAAAGCCTCAATTAAAATTGAGACCTTCTTCTCAAAATAAAATTAATAAATTTAAAAAGAAATTCGATTCCCGGAACTAAACCCAGAAGAAGGAAAGGAGGAAGACTAGTACTTTAAGCTCAAAACACAGCCGTTAACTCAGCTGAACCTGTGCTAACGTGCTAAAACGAAAAGTGTCTGACCAAAAAAAATGAAAAAAGTGAACGAATCAGAATCTGGTTACGTAATACTTGTATAATAGACTCGTACCAAACGCAGCCTTGCACTTAGCATAATCCGCAACGGCTAGTAATTAACAACTTTGGTAGACCCCCCTAGTTCGACTTAATTTACACTGCCAACGTGTTAATTTTATTTTTTTAAAAATATTTTATATCATTTTATTAATTTTGTTTATGAAATTTTAAAATTCACTAATTTATAAAAAAAAAAAAAAGGGGGAAAAGAAAGGAAAGGATATTGGTGTACCTTAAGGGGAAGAAAAAGAGTCTTTACGTTTTCAGCCCCAGCAGAAAAGGATGTAAATCTGGGCGACCTTCTAAGGCTCTTATCATCCACAATTCTTCTTTCCGTATTTTTCATTCTATTACTTTGTGTTTGTACTCTCACAATGGGCCCCACATTTGGTGGCTGCGGCCCAAACAACACCGACAACCTCGGCGACCTTCTCAGGCAGCTAATATGCACCGTTTTTTTATCTGATTTCCTCGACGGCACGTTTTGAACTGGCGAGACCTGAAGAAGACTTGGTGGAAGCTTGATATCGGCGGTCATTTCTTGCGGGAGGCAAATATCTAAAGGCACTGGCTGCTCTTCATTACCGTCTTCGCTTTCGACTAAAGAAAGGGACCAAAATTCGGATTCGGATTTTTTGGATGGCTTCATGAATGTAACAAAAACTAAAACTAATCTCGATGATTTCAAAGATACAAGAGGATTTGGAACCAAACAAAGAAGAATTTCAAATGTGGGTGAAGTGACTGGAGCATAAGCGGAGCCACTGCATCGGGAAGCGTTCTATCTGGCTTCACTGCCTCACTCACTCGACAGTCTACACCATTTCTTATGTATAAATTATTTTTAATTGGGGAAATGATATGTTGTGTTTGGATTTGTGCTGTTTTAGAGTTGTACGTTTAGTTAATGGGCTTTCAGATTGTGGACTTTTTCAAGCAAAAATGTGTGTCAAAGAGCGTACAGTTGTGAGAAGCAAGGTTTTTACAAAGGTTGAGAGGTTTGTTGGTTGTTTGTCTGGTGCTTTGGTCGCTTGGGCGGGAAATCCAAGTTCAAACTTCTGGGCTGAGACAGGAGCTCTAGCTCAACAAATGGGTCTCGTCTGGGTTGTTTGATAAGAAGGATAATTTTCCTTAGTTAAAAAAAAAACATTTAATTTAATTTAATTTATATAATTATTGACGTGCGAAAATTCAAATTCAAATGTTGCTAGTCTTTAAAGTCGTCATGCCTGCGATAAGTTGGCAATGGAAAGAGAACCCACTCGTGATAATTTCTTGGTTGACCTACATTATCAACATCAAATCAAAAATGAAACAATCCCTCCATAAAAGCTAATCATCAACAGTTATTAGTCCATAGTAATCTAACAAATCAATTAAGCATTCAACATTTTTTATTAAAAAAAAAAACCCACATAAACCTTATTAATTGTCTCTCAATCCTCCAGCTACCGCATGTTTGTGCCATATTTTTGAATGTAACAAGGCAGAGAGCACAAAGGAAAGAGCAGAAGCAGACACCTTTCTTTCTATTTCATGTCTGAAGATTCAGATTCAGATTCTATAAATTTAAGCACAAAATTTAAGCTTCTTCATCACCTTTGCGTATGCGGCTGGTACTATAGCTGGTTGTCTCAGCCTCCGTTTTGATTTTTTTGACTGCATTAAATGATAAAATATGAGTCATTGGCTTTCAACAATTCTTTATCTGCCAGTAAGAAGAGAAACTTTACGATAAGAAAAGAAGCAAATATAATTGTGTTATACTGGTTGAACTTGAAAGATGATAATTGTATTGAGATCTCAAGATCTCCAAAACTTCATTTTTTGGTGACAACCGTCTCTAAGGCATCGATTTATTAAGGCATAAACTTACGTTTCAATCCTGATGCGCAACCCGGACTTTCCAAAATTTTGACAATTTGATGAATAAATATGCTGACCTCCAGAGGTATATCTATCCCCATGCTTCTTTTTCTTGATAACTGAGAATTTCACTCAGCCAAACAACTAGCATTATACCTTACCCTTGATTTCCCTTAGCTACAACCATTTCCTAAAGTGGGGATCAGTACAAAGATTTTAAGCACAATAATCCTGTATTATTCCAAAGAACAAGGTTGCAGCCCTCAGCCAAAGGTCCTTATCTATAACAGATAATTGTAAGAAATTTTCTGTCCAATCTTGATGATTTTTTTGAAAACCAACAAGGTCTAGATTAATCTATTTTTCAATGTAATTTAGAAAGAACTTCATTAAATAAAGAACAAAAGTGCTAGATCCAAATCAAACAACACAAGGAAACATACCAGAAGACAAGAAAACATATGAAAGGACATATGCACACATGCAAGCACACACACCACAGCATCATTCTTCCTACCCAGCCATAAACATTTGCCTTTGCTTGCTTACATTCTTTTATCTTCCCTTTTTTATACTTGCCTCAAATCATTGCTCATTATGAAGGCGGACAAATTTTTGCACAAAAGGTACAAGGCTGAGATTTGATGCATTTCAACAATGCCAGGCTTAAAAATTACCAGAATACACAACCAGAGTATATCACTGGCATATATGCAACCGAATAGTTAACACCATAGTTGTGCCTTGCAACCCATGCTACTGCCGTAACATGAGTAAGGAAATTCCTTTGAATTCCCCTCCAACATGAAATCCAAAAATCTCTGTTGCTTTAAGAAAATTCAAATCCAAAGAAGCACTAAACAAAGTAACACTATTACACTCCCAATATTACATCTCACAGGTACACACACATAATCCAATATGACGCATATATCTAAAACAATTCAGCAATCGACTATGAAGGTAGAACTCTAACAGACCTATTAGAAGGCAGCTCCAGAACTGGCTTCACAAAAAGTAGCTTTCAAATGTCTAAGAATTAAAGATTAACTGATTTCCTTCAACTCCTGAATGACCCTAATCCTCTCCTTATTGACACGGAGACATCTACACTTGTTTTTATCCTTGATAATGTTAGAACTTAGTAACTATCCCAAGCCAACTTGTTCTTGCTGGTTGCTTATCTCAAAAAATTACTCTAATCCAGAATAAGAACATTACATTGGAACAAGAAAAAAAATGTCATTACCTTCAAGTGTGCATTATGATTTTTGCCTTCCCTCCAGCGACGAATACTCCCATCTTTCATTGTCCTAAATCTCGATTTATATGACCTAATCGGATCCAAATTAAACCATTAACCAAACAAATCTAAAAAAGTTTTCCCCTAAAAAACAAAAATTAGGACAACAAAAGTATAAGCCTACGAATAAAATTTCATCTTAATTTTCTTGAGTTTGGAAGTGCGTGGAGTCATGGGCTTCCTCCTCTTTGCTCGCTCTCTTGACGAAACATGCCGGACTTGAACCAACTATAGAAAAAAGAAAACAGAAAGTTAGATAGATTTTGATACAAGAAAGGGTAAATTTTCTGCAACCAAGGAAATAAAAAGGAATATGAAGCTTACATAGAGAGGTAGTGGAGAATAAGGGAAGGAATTGACAGCGTGGGGAGGTGAAGCGGCATGGTTATTGATGAGGGATTTAAAGCTCTGTTTGGTTGAAATAAAATGGATTGGAGGAGAGGAGTGATGAAGAAGGCGACGTGAAGCGGAGAGAGGGGGAAGAGTTTGAGTTGATTGAAGTGCAGCCAAACAGCGGATCTTCGTGCACAGTCTCTGCATCGTTTAATCTTTGGTTCCTGCAAAGACAACGCTGCTTTGGGGTTTAAGGCCGTGATTTAGGCAATGTAAAAGGGGGTGTTTGGGACGGTGGATTAGCGTGACCCGACCAATCTATTTTTCTTGTGATTTGAGATTTGAGATGATAAGATAAATTTCAAAATCCCTCTTAACAAATAACAATACTAATTATGACTCTCTTTTTTTTTTAATTTTTTAATTATGATTTTTATTTAAAAATGTGAAAATTTTAATTTGATCATCAAAATTAAAAATTCGATCACAAAAAATACAATTTTTGATTACGTCTTTCTTCAAGCTTTTTTGTTAACAAAAGTTATTTCTTTTCAATTATTCTTAAACAAATGTATATTTTCATGTTAAATGATTCCTTTTAAGTCTTAAATAATAATATAAATACTTTTGCTATCTAATATATATTTTATATATATAATGCTTAAAATATTTGTGTCGAAGAAAACGTTAAAATATCACAAACCTTAACATCTTAATGAAGGAAAATGTAATTAAATTATATTGCCAACAAAGTTCAAGAGAACAAGAATTTGTATACCCTTAATTCCATGATTAATCGAGTGTATTATTATTAAAAATTATTAATTGAGTTGATAAAGATTTAATATTTAACTTATAAAATTTAAATTTAATTTTTGCTATCAATATTTTTTTTTAAAGGCGTAGAAACTATTTCATCCTTTTAGTCCAACTAAATTGTGACTTAAATTTCAAGCGATTACAATCAAATTAAAAGTTTCTTTTAAGTGGCCCTTTTAGTCTTTCTTGATGACTACATATAGTTTTCCACAGCGTCCCTCCTATAAGCGTTTGATAACTTGGGTTTGTAAGTGATTGAATCTTTATTGGTAGTTATAGTGCATTTGTAATTTGTAAAAGATTCCTAAAATACTTATCAACGGTAAGAAAAGAAGGCTTAGAAATTCCAACTTCAAGTTGGAGGCCTTAACAGAGTAATTGCTTGTATTGAACGAGACCAATTACACGGCGATGAAAGTAGAGATTATTTCTCTGTTTATCAACAAAAAAATAAAATTTGTCATAAATCATACAAATATCCTATAAAAGTTATGCAAAGCTCACTGTGGACCCTTTTAATTATTTTTTGTTTTATCTTCCTCGAAGATTTAGATGAAATTTATTAGTTGAAACTTATGAATTTTTTAACCTAAAATAATTAAATAAAAATAAAAATAAATAATAAAAATTGATAAATTAAAAGATTTAATTAAGTAAACAAAACTATTAACAAAATTTTTATCGTTAATTAAATATCGATCAAATTTAAATTATAAATAACATTCTTAATAATTTCTTTTACATATTATTAATTTTTACATTAAAATTTTTATTAAATTATTTTTAAGAAAAAACTCCGTCGCTAACATACTTCTTGCAAATTTTCTCCACCTTCCTATGCTATGCAGCTTCCTCACCCACAGGCTCTTTCTTTGCATTGTCATCATTACCATTGTTAATGCTATTGCTATTATCCAAGCCATTGGAGGTGGATGGAGAAACCGTTTCACCCTCTTCATTGATAAGCCCTGCGGCTACAGCGCCTCCAACGTCGCTGATGTTCCCATATATGGAAATCATCATTGCAACGGCAGCCGTGCAGAATGCGATTCCAAAAGAAGTTCCAACGTTCCCAGCAGCGGTTCCTGATGCTACTGCAAAGCCTAAACAAGTTCCCACCATTTTCACCCACGAGAACCAGATTGCAAATGCTCCTTCTTTCCCAGCTGGTGAACAGTCCATCAACAGAACTCGCCCAAAAGCATGCAACACTCCTGTCGATGTGCCATGCAATGCGGCAAATATCAATATATGACGTCTCTGCCAGTTTTCCTGCCGGAATTGGAACCCTGTCGCTGAAGTTACCAGTGATAAAATGAGTCCAAGCAGATTCATTTTCACAGCATTTGTCTCTAAAACAAGCTGCATTGGTTGCAGTAGTGGTAGAGAAACCGAGGTGAAAATGAAATAAATCAGCCAGAAATAGAGCAAGAACACAGGCTTGAGGCAGAGTTCACCAACCACATAAAGTACCCCTCCTGTGAAAATGCACATTGATGTGAATGAAGAAAGGCCAACAACAATAAGGTTTCCAAGTCCATGATGATATTTAAAAATGGAGAGAAAATGATCTTTTGGTAAGGGAGAGGTAATGGTTGCCCCCGCCCTTAACGTAATGACGTGAACTATTCCAGCTAGCCACTTAATTCCACTAAAAATGGAGACAACCCACAAGCCGGTAAATATATCATCAATTCGGAGCATATAATATGCAAATGCTGCTACTACAGCAGACCCCAAGCAACCAGCCGCAGTGGCTTAAAGCGACAGCCAACTTGAGACACCTCTTCTAACTGGAAATTGACGTCTTTGAAGGGTCGGTCCGGTGAAGCCTCGGATCATTAGGCCAAGTTGGCGGGTGTGGGAGGCAGTAGCAACGGTAATGGCAACCACGATCGGAGCAATATATAGCGGGAAGATCCATGTGACTTTGAAGAATCCAACAGGCAGACAAAAGAATGCTCCAATGGCTGTTGCAGCTCCTGCAATAACTTGCTGGTTCTGGCCATGGTCAAGATTGGTAGAAATGAAACGGAGTACAGGGCCAGCCAGAATTAGGCCTATTGCCCAAGAGATTGAAGTCCACTCTAAGGGGGAGACTTTGGAATTGCCGATCGATATTGAACGACGTGTAAGTCGCTCATACCTGTAATCAAACGCACAGATTATGAATTGCCTCGATGAAGTTCATGTGATGGCATGGCAAGAGCTAGGATTAACAAAATAAATATGTTTGACAAATATACGGTGACACTTACAGTTGCATTTCACCGGTCTTACGAGTCAAGCCCTTGGCGCTCTTGTTCCATCCTCGGAGTGGCTCAGTAGGTAACTTAACTATTTTACCGATGATGAGAGAAAAAACTATAGGTATAAGAACTGTATGAACAAAGTAAGAGCACAGTTCGTATGCATACCAAGCCCAAAGTTCCTGTCTTGTAGGCTTATGCTCGAGCCTCGAATATGTCTTGTAAGCCTCCTTAGCTTTCTCCATTTTCAAGGAAATGTTATGCACGTCAGAGGTCGACCTATTGATTTCCTGATGATCATTTGATTCTGGTGCCTGGACTGTTTCTTGAGTGCTTTGAATTTCAGAACTCTCTTCTGCCATGTTGCTCTCTGCTTGTGAGATGAAACTTCGTCTTTGGTTAAAGGAAGGTACTAATAAAACAGAGGAGATGAAGGAAGAAGTAGTCGATGACTAATGAGAACGATAAATATATTTGTTGGGTAATGAAGGTGGGCAGTCGATCGGCACTAAGCAGAGGATGAAGGAAGAGGTTGATATAAGGATGAAAATGAGCAATGTTGGTGACTATGAGAATATAGAATATGTCCATTGTTTCATGGTGTGAAATTTTCAAGAGTTGCCAAGGCCAACCCCGTTATCTTCATTTATGAATTAAAATAATGGGGATATAATCAGCATCATTGTTTGACCGATTGACATAATTGTCTTTACATGTTCGCTTAAAGTCAAACACACTTTGCTTATCAGACTTTCTGGACCCAATACAATTGTCTAAGTTTTAATGGGCTGAAAGATGCCCATGGACACTAAAGACGAGAATATGAAACTGTCATCAAGATGAATTTAGCCCAATATTTGAGCCCAATTCAGTTTTTCATTAGGAGGGCCTGGATATATATTTAAAAGTACAACCAACCTAGCGGAATGACCATTAAATTATGGGAAATTAATTGCAACGAAGAAGGAAAACTAAAAATATTGACTCCCCCTAGATTTAATAATATAAAATTTAATATAATAATATAATATGAATATAATATAAATATAAAATATAAAAATAATTTAATTTAAAATTTTAATAATTATTATATTTAAATTTAATAAAAAATATTTTATATTTTTATATAAATATAATATAAATATATTAATTTTAATATTTTATATGATATAAATACAATATATATTTTTCCCTTAACTTATTATTTTGAGGTAGTACTAATGTGTGGCATAGGCTAGACTAGAGCACGCACTCCACCGACCTTACCAAATAGGCAAAGATTTCAACCGCAGCCACCATCCAATTTTATTTTACTTCCAGTTTTTCCCTCTGCTCCAAGGAAAACAGTTCACCAATCACCAGCTCTTTACTTTATGGAAAAACTCCACTCCTATTAAACTACTATGCATTAAAAAAGGGGTGAAAAAAGCTAAAAATATCTTTTTGGGATTAAGGAGAATTGGCATTCCAAAATTCAAACTTTTATTAACACCAATGTTATAAAGTTAAGAGGGAAAACTAAATAAAGATTATAGAAAGATGAAAAGTTATTTTTTTATGAAAATTACAGGTTGAGAATAAACAAATTTAAAATTACAATTTGAAATTTAAATTTTAGATTTATTAAGTATTATATTTAAAAATAATGGTATAAAAAATGAGTTTTGAATTGAAGATGAATAATCATTTCTTTATTTATTATCTCTATCTTTAGTAAATCTGAGCTAGACTCATATTTTATTTTTTATTGCCTGGTTTTGAGGCCTTGATTGGGGATGGCAACTGGCAACTTTGTCATCATCACATTCAACTATGAGCTTTCCACCGCAAGGAAAAGATGAAAACATGAGAAGGACCCCCAAAGACAAAGAGTTCTCCTTCACATTCTTTAATCAAATCAAGAGACTTTGACAAGAAAACAAAATATAAACAACAGTCGTCACATGAACCCAACACGAAACAAAAACACAAACAAAAACAATTCCCCAAAGCAAACCCCATCATCATCACCCCACTTTTCTCTCTCATTCACGAAGCAATAGTCATGCTCTCATAGTCACATGCACATCAGAACTCTTCCTAGTCAAACTAAACCACACCCTTGATTAAATTATTAAGAACCCGATGAATTATACGACTTTTTGATTATAATTGAATCAAAGACAGTCAGACAGAGCAGACTGACAGATCATAATCCATTAATTTCGCACTTAAAAGTCCTAAGCATAAAAGAGCACACATAACACTCTATATTCTTCGCTTTCTGTTACTTTCATTCTATTCTTACATCAGCAGTCACATAATTTGGACCATTAG